ATCAGGGTTTTGCTGCCAGCTTGCCAATTTTAGCAATTGCTTTGCTTTTATGGCATCTGAAGATTTCAGATAAGTAGTCCGTAGGTGATCCCACTTCTCCGCGGCAAACACGAGATCTTTAACCTCTAAAATCGTGTCTGTTGTCAGACCATGCTCTAAAATGACATTTGCCTTCAGGTCTAGTTTTATCCAATCTAGATCTGAATCTATCAGTTGATCCCATTCTGCCCTTGTAACTTCATGAAAGCCATTAACGGCTTGCCAGGCAAATTGAACCTTCAATTGCCTTTCCATTGCATGAAACCAATAACGAGCGTTTTCCTCAGAAAGCTTCTCAGTTGAGAACTTATTGACCGTTAAACCCGAGTCAATAACCGCATTACCTCTAGATAGCTTCCCATTAAGCCTTTCACTGGCCTTCGATTGGGACGGCTCAGGTCGCTGAGGTATCTGATGAGGTGTCTCCTCCGTTTGGTTCGTTTTATCCGACATGGTGTTGGCGTATCCACAACTCAGCGTAATACGCTAGGAATCCACTGGCCGATGGTATTCGTAGGTAGGACGTCGAGGGTAGAGCTCGCAGCTCGATTCGGATCGATAGTCTATATAGGATGTGAAGCCTATACAGATCTCCCGGGGTGCCTGGTTAGTTACAGCAAACCCGGGCTCATAACCAATGAAGTAGTTAAGCTCAGAGGAATAGTGGAGTTCGATCGGTCCGAGCTGTACGAGGCCTAAGCCATAAGGAGAATGCAAATGAATGAAGTAATACTCTATCTAAAACGTAGCCTAGAGTACAGAGATACTTGAGTGCTTGAATACTTGAAGAGGATTGTGGCCTCTGCAAAATATGGGCCTCGGACGGACTACCTAGTGTTGTTCCCGGCCTCCGAGCTAATTACATCTCATCAAGATTGCCTGTCTGCGTCCCCCGCCGACCTGCAACATCCCTCCGTCAGATCACTTTATGGGTCGTCCTACACCATGTCAGAGCCTCTTTTGAAACCCGCTGAGTATGGGCCGGAGATAAGATACAAATCTTGTCTCGTATTGGAGAACATTGGGATCCCCTATGTCATTTGGTTTGAAGATGCTCTGGTACACTATGGGGTTCCCACGGTAGTCTTCGATTTATATGTCCTTGTCTTAGACATTGATACCGCTGCCGACGCCCTTATCAAAGCTGGATGGATTGTTGATACCCAAAACCCTCATCGGATTGGGGATTCAGTCGTGGCAATTCCGCAAACACCGCTGATCTCCCCCGACCAGAAGACAAAGACGGTCCTTCTCCTCGCTTCTGACTGGAGGTTCCCTCTCGCGGCTAACCCAGCTCTCGAGAGGGTTCCTGTGAACGACCGTTCCCCCTCAAAGCTGTCGTTCCCCCTATTGTCAGGCTTACTCGATTCCCTGATTGAAAGCTGGTTGGTTGGTCCCACTGAGGACGCCACATTATTGGTTCGCCTGGCATGTTATTTTAACTATCTGTACGGATATGTGCCGGCACTTAAAGAGCGATCGTTTGCCGACCAGATGAAATATGAGCATCGCCAGTTCCATTTCGATGTGCTTGCTGGGATGGCTTCACCAACTTTCCCTTTTAGAAACCACCAACGTGGCATTAGAGATGCGCTTTTGCAGGATCGGTATGAGTTACAGGAATGCTCGGCGTCTCGCGATGATGAAGCCCTCTTTGGTGGCTGGGGAAAAATCCGCCTTCCAGACCCAGTTAACGATGAATCAGTGGAGTAGCTGTGCTGTTTCGATGAAGAGAGTCTGCGCCAAGTTTATGGTATAGCTAGAATCTGACGCAAGAAGGACTATGGATCAGAAACGGCCGAACAGTCTTTCTTAAGGCCGAAAGGTCTTACGGATATTCTGACCGCAGTAATTGAAGAGTGAGGAATTGCATAGTATCGTTTGAATGTATGGTCTCCTTTTTCCTCACTGTACTAAAGCAGATATTTAACGCCTGCCTACGTCTTGGGCACAACCCGGAGTACTTTCAGCAATCGACTACTGTAGTACTGCGTAAAGCAGCCCCCCGGGACTATCGCATCGCCAAATCCTAACGACCTATAGCGCTCCTGAATACCCCTCGGTAAGATCCTGGAGGCCGTGGCTACAGTACGGATCGCCTGGGCCCTGGAGGAGCGTAATCTCCTACCCAGGAGCCATCTAGGGGGCCGCAGGGGCATCTCAGTCGACCACCTGATCCAGTTGCTCCTTGACCAGATCTTTGAGAGCTGGGGTAAGGGCCGGAAGGTCAGTATGTTGCTCTTAGACGTGGCTGGCGCTTTCGACAATGTCTCGCATATACGGCTCCTCCACAACCTACATACGATAGGGCTCGGCTTCTTCGCCGGCTGGCTCGGATCCTTCCTATCGATCCGATCCACAAGGCTGCAGCTCCCCGGATATCTCAGCAACCTTATTCCAACCCCTGCTTCGCGCATTCCAATCCTCTAGTGGCCTCATCAGCGATCTGTACAACATGATCAACTCAGTAGCCTCCAGCTGCTCAGACCCTGCTTTGCTTGGAAACTTTATCAAAAATCACGATAATCCTCGATTTGCACAGTATGATACCTCTTCTTACCTGATTCATTGAGCCCCTACAGGCATCCCCCAGGGGTCCCCTATATCGCCGATCCTATTCCTCCTATTCAACACCACCCTTATTCGCGCCCTATTGATCGACGGTATTGAGGCCCTTCGGATTCACCCACCCCTCCTAGAGGGAGGCAAGACGGTCTCCTACGGGTGGATTGACGATGCTGCCACCCTGGCCATCTCGGATAGCTACGCGGTCAACCAGCGCCTTCTGGAGAGTGCCGGACAAGGCCGCGGTATGGTCAAGGCAGCATTCGCCCAAATTCGCCCCCGATAAGTTCGAACTCATTCATTTCAAGAACCCGCTTCGCCCTGACCCTGCGGTAGAACGACCCGTACCACATGAATATAAACACGACTCGACTATAGACCTCATGGGTTTCTAGAGATATATAATACCTACAGTCTTAGCGCGTTACTAAATTGTTTTGAGGCCCTCGATTTGGTCCTTGGCGTACCAGGCGTGCTTACTGCCTATTTCTATTATCAGGCTCGGCATCGGCATCCGACCCACTAGGTAGTTAATCGTCCATTTTAAAAGCTGGGTAAATCAAGACCTAGGGCCCCCAGCTGTAGATCATTTATCTGACAGACGTTCGAGATTGCCAGAATGACTGGAATATTATCTAGATATCTATTGAAGAGAAAATATCATTGTAGAGGTATAGAGATTTTGCAAAGATATGATCCCTCTGTGTGCCTTGGAGTGATATATATTGAGCAAACGGCAAGGGTGCATCTTTCTGGTCAAGGAGCGACCCAATCGATTATGAGAAACTATGGCATATTCTCTATTCTTTAGAATTTTCCTGTCTTAATTCGGTGTTGCGTAGATGGGGTTGTAAGATTTATCGGTACTTGTAACTGACTTCTTTATACTTGCGGCTGCAGCTGCTTTTCTGTCGGCCTGAGGTGTCTAAAAGGAGGGAGGACCGACGCCGCAAGACCCGATGGAACCTGCCAGTCTGAGAAGGTGCGACCCTCAGCCTGGTTGTACATGTATCAGGAGTCAGTAGAGCTGTTTTACAGCGAAGAAGCGATCGCAGCGACTCGAGATAGTTATGATCCACTCTTCATCGCGACAAGTTCCTACGGTCAAAGTTTTGAAATGAGATCCTTCGTTTTAGCATTGCTAGAATTAAGTAAAGATTATCGGTACTTCTACATAATGGCTTGAGATGTCCGCTCGAGGTTTTGGCTGTTCGCCCTGGAAGTGGGGCGGTCGGCGGTGAACCATGACCCAATTGGGGTTAGCGTGTCAATGTCCATCTGCCGCAGGTGACTCTGTCGCATCCATCTTTCTCTTGACCTTCTTCACTCTTCATCTTTATCTTCACTTCAATCGCCTATCGCCGGCATCACTCTTCTTCCGCTGCGAAGGCGCATCCCATCAGAAATACTCTCTCCCTCAACAACACACCTGGATAAAGAATACCCAACTAACGCGCCACCATGTCTGAGCGAAAAGTCCTGTAAGTCACCGACCTTCCTCCTCGCCTCCGAAGCGTTTGCGCAACCCAGCAAGAGACACAACCTCAAGTCTCATCTCACTCTAATGTTTGTATCAACTGTATCAGAAAAGCTAATTATTCTCTCACCCCAGCTCCAAATACTACCCCCCGGACTTCGATCCGTCGGCCATCACCCGAACGCCTAAACATCTCCGAAGCACAGGACCGAAGGTCATCACCGTTCGACTGATGGCGCCATTTTCCATGAAATGTACACACTGCGGTATGTCTATTCAACATCCACCTTATCAACACTTCAAACCCATCCTCTCTACATCTTGCGCCTTCAACCCAACCTCCCCATCTCTTCTCCCCACCCATACACAACACCACACAACATACTAACAAAGTCATCTCACCCCGAATAGGCGAATACATCTACCGTGGCCGAAAATTCAACGCCCGCAAAGAAACCACCGAAGAAAAATACTTCTCGATCCCGATCTACCGCTTCTACATCCGGTGCACGCGCTGCAGCGGCGAAATCACCTTCGTCACGGACCCCAAGAACATGGATTATCGCGCGGAGAAGGGCGCAAAGCGCAACTTTGAGCCGTGGCGCGATGCGTCGGCCGCGGCAGGGACGTATGACGAGACAGAGCAGGAGACGCTGGATCGGTTGGAGAAGGAGGAGGGGGAGGAGCAGGAGCAGGTGGAGCGGGATAAGATGGCGGAGTTGGAGGAGAAGATGCAGGATTCGAAGAGGGAGATGGCGATTGCGGATGCGTTGGATGAAATCCGGACGCGGAATGCGAGGAATGCGAGGACGGAGGGGTTGGGGGAGGATGTGGCGTTGGGGCAGGTGAGGGATCAGGTGGATGAGAAGAGGGAGAGGGAGGAGAGGGAGGATGAGGAGGCCGCGAGGAGGGCGTTTATGACGGAGACCGGGGAGAAGGTGAAGAGGTTGGTTGAGGAGGAGGGGGAAGGCGCGCAGGATGCTGGGTCTTCTTCGGTGGATTCGAAACCAACCGAGTCCATGCCGCCTCCGCCGTCGTTTGCGAGGACCAAGAAGCCCAAGAAGCCGTTGATGAATGGGCTGGGTATCAAGAAGAAGGCTAAGCCGTCGCTGGTTTAAGTCTTCGGGTTGTCGTTACACATACAACCTACAGTCTTTCAATTTCTGGCGTTTGAGATATTATACATAAGCTATCAATGATGAGCACTACGATTGATTACATCACTACAAAGGAAAACAAAGTATGCCAAATATTGTTAATTTGACTGAACATTAAGTATGATACAAGAGCAGAAATAAACAGAACAAGAAATGAAGAGAACAAAATGTCGTAGACACATCCATCAAAGATTTTGACCCTGAGCGCCACGCTAGAACAAAGAATAACTGATATAACAAAGCCCACTCAACCCATGAGCATCTTCCACAATAAATAATCCCGTAGGATAAAAACAAATAAGCAGGGAAGTGGCAATCGAAACGCCACGCAACGAAAAGATAATACAGACGGACAGGAGGATTTTTCTTGTGGTCTAAAGGTATGGCATCCACAGAGCGTCGCAAGAAGCCAGATGCTGGGGATTCACGGCCTTGGAGATGAGGTCGATGGTGGTTTGGTTGGCAGGAAGGTTGCCTTCAGGGGGGCTGGCAAGGCTGACGGCCCGGTTGACGATCACATCACTGTTGTTGAAGACCAGATCGCGGAGCTGCGGAACAGGCAGGGAACCACGATGCTGAGCCGTAGCCCAGAACATCATCTCGTCGCGCACGAAGATGCTGAGTTGCTGCTCGAGCTCGTGTCGAGGCTCGGTCAGGCATCGCGCAATCGCCATCAACGCGCACGCGAAGAGACCCTCGGTGGCAATGGGTCCCAAAAGCGTCTGGATGTTGGGCGTGAATCGGAAAGGCACCTGTTCGGGGTTGTAGAAGAAGGCCTTGGCAGGGTTGATGGCGGGGATGAGCTCGGAGCCCCAGATGTCGCCCGTGGTCCTCGAGATCATGATCTTGTTGGGATACCGGTTGCCCATGTGCATCACGTAGGTCATGAATGCGATCGCAGCGTATTGGTAGGTAAACTGCCGGCGGAAGAGCCAGAAGTCCGCGAAATTGGGGTACGTGTTCTGGAAGTAATCCAGCACAACGGTATTGGGAACCCATTTCTCCTGGATGGCTGTGAGGATCTCGCCGCGAAGAAGTTGCTGCTGATCGGGCGTGCGCTGAAAAATGTTAGTCTTGTCAACCGTGAGAGCCCGAGATGTACTTACGTTTTGCTTGGTCTCTGCCAACGACCTCATCTTCTCCATGGTGAACAGAACAGGATCGTCCTTGTTGATGCCAACCCGACGGCAGTAATCCTCATAAATTCCCTGCATGGAAATGTACGACGGATCATCACGAACCAGACGGATGTGAGGAGCCAAGGGAACCATAAGAGGAAGGTGGAAATACAGGTTGCGTCGTCGGCTCTCCTTACGTTTGCCCAAGAGACCATTGAAGATACGGAAGAGCTGCAAGATCCGCTCCTCCCGTCGGCAATGACGAGCCGCTGGATGCTGGACAGCGAAAGGATGCACGCTGCCGTCATGACCGCGGATCTTCAGGCGACGGTGGCAGACACCAATGCCGCGCACCAGATCGATATCAGGCAAGAACCGATCAATACGAACGAAATCCTGGTTCTTGTCCTTGTGCAGCAGGTACTGGCCGGGCACCTCGACCTCATCGAACTTGAGGAATCGGAATTCACTGAGATGAGGCGAGTAGCTCTCCAGGAACTGAGACTGAGGCCGACGGTCAAGCTTCTCTTCGAACTTGTCTCTCCAGCGGCGCAGCTTCTGGATGTATTCATACATGGTCGGCTTCTTGACAACAAAGTCAGCCTCGAAGGACTTGCGAATGTGAGCTGGCAGGATAGTCTCCGCGAAGCGAGTGATGTTGGCCTCCGTGGCAGCAGGCAATTTGAAATCCAGTGCATACGAGCCCGGCATGCGGCCAACATACGCCAGTCCATCGTTCAGAAGGGCAACAATCAGACGATAAGCATCCTCGTCCGGAGGACACTTGAAGTTTTTGTGGATCTGATCGACCATTGTCTCCATCGACAGCGCGAGCAACGGGAAAGCTGTCTTGAGGCCAGACATGATCTCGTCGGAATACTCCCATGGTTTCTTGAGAGGCTCCTTCTCCGCTTCTGCGCCGGCATTCTGGTTCTGCTGTGGCGTTCCGTTGGGACCAGGAGGAACCTGAAGATTGTTCTGCTGCCCTTGGGGCTGTTGCATAGGGTTCTGGCCCTGGTTTGGCGTGCCGTTCTGGCCTTGCGGCAACTGCATCTGGTTCTGAGCAGGAGATTGCTGGGCCTGGACCTGGTTGTTGATCTGAGGGCTTTGTCCTTGAGGCAGTCCCTGGGGATGAGACTGGCCTTGGTTTTGCACCTGTTGCTGGTTGTTCGGCTGCGCGCCCTGGCCGGCGTTGGCTTGGGCGTTTTGCATCGGCGAACCATCGGCGGCTGCAGGGGAAGGCTTGGGCTGCGGCGAAGCAAGCTGCTGCTGCTGTCTAGCCCGGTTCAGTTTCTCCTGCTTCTGATCGTGCTGTTTCTTGATGTTGAGCATGTCTTCTCTGTTTGTACGGAGCAAGAAGAAAAGAGCCTGAGGATATAGCTTGGCGATCTTGACCAGAACGGCCTTGCAGAGGCGAGCTTCACGATGCGACAGGCTGGTGAGCAGCTGCGGGATGAACGTAATCCAGTACCAGACGGGGGTTTCGCCCTTGAAACTTTCAAAAGCGTTCGCCACGCGTCCTTCGTCATTGTCCAGACTAAGGAGCCAGAGGATTCTACTGAGCAGCTTGCGGGACTTGGAATTCTTGTAGAGTCCAGCAGCTTCCAGGTAGCAGCTGACGGCGTTGCTAGCCAATTCGTAATCCGACGAGTCGGATTTGAATCGCTGGTCACTGTACTGACCCCACTCAGACCAGGCTTTAGCAAGTCGCAGATCGTAAAAGAGCGCGACGCCAAATGCCTCATTCGCCTCGTTGACATGGTTGAGTTTGGCTAGGAACATGCCCTTGAGCGTGTAGAATTCGGCCTTCTGCTGCGCACCAAAATAATTCAGATTCGTATTGTTGATGACATCCAATCCGCTGTTCAACTCCTTGGGGTTCTGGTAGTGGCACTTCGCTTGCTCTCGCAGTTTCAGGAACGCCTCCTGGATCTCGATATTGGGCAGAGTATAGATGCGGCTGAGTTGATTGATGCAGACCTCGGGCATTTGATGCTTACGAGCGACATGAGCGAAGCGGTTGATAATCCACGCCGTCTCATGGTACCCACGGTAGGCATAGGAGTTACTAGCCACATTGTTGGTCTGGGGAGGTAGCAAGCCGAGGTATGTCGCATTGATCAGCTGGAAGATGTGCTGACGCCAAGTAACCAGGTCTTGCCAGGCATTGATATCATCCCACAAGTTGGGAAGACGGTCCCGCCAAGTTCCCAGCAGCAGCTTCAGCTCTGCAGATTTCGTGTCCAGGTTCCGGTCGTTGGTCTGTGCCAGGCTGCCGCAGATGTGGCTTGCGTCGTGGAGCTCAACCAGAAGCTGGAAGTGCTGCAGAATCGGAATATGTGCATTGGTAATCCTCTTAGGCAGTTGAAGCCACTTGCGAATGGACAGCTGAATTGACTCGTCACAGACACCGTTGAAGTCCTGCAGGTTGTCCTTCTTAATGTGGAACTGAAGCAGCGCCATGAACGCCTGGAAGAATGTTCGTCTTGGTGTGGGGGCGTCAGAGACGGATTTGATCAACGACTCGAGCTGCTCTCTGTTTCCGTCACTCTGCCAGTTCTCGATGTTCCTCCACGCGGCCTCCAGCAGAAGATCGTTCAAGTTTTCGTGCTTGGCAAAGTCGCTAAGGATCTCCCATTGCTGCAGCTTCTGAGCACAGATCAGCCAATGATCCTCCCATAGGTAATATTCGCCTTGAGAGAATGGCATTGCGCCTGAGCGCGCTTTGATCTGCGCATTCTCGTACAACTGTTGAGACTTATCCCACATCCCTTGCTGTTCATAAGAGATAGCAGCATTCGTCTCAACAAACTTGCAGCGCCGTCGCCATGTCCCATAGAAGAAATCATCTTCCTGCAAGCCGGCGTAGACCTCAACCAAGGCGTCAAGATTGCTTTCGCGGACCGTCGGTGTGTCAATGATGGGGTTGATAGCAGTTTCTTCCAGGTAGGTTGCCGCGGTGTACCAGGCATCATAAGTGCGACTCAGGTACTTCATCACATGCGGAGGAATCTTGAAGCGAGGCTTGGCTCGAACGGCGCCTTCTAGCAACGCTTGTACAACGTTGGGCCTCTTGTCCAGTTGTCCTCGATGGTATTCGCGAGTGATAAGAGTAACCATTCCCTTCTCCAGGTCAATGCGATCCTCCCTTGACAGGGTGGACCAGAATATGGTGAAGAGATTGGTCCAGAGAGTATAGGCAACATTGGGATCAGTGTGCTGGAGTTGGCAGAGCGGCTCCATGAGATCGCGAGCTTTGACATCGCCAAGTTCGGACACGAACCGCCTGCGCTCCGTGACAAACGCCTCCAGCTGGGCATCTACCATGACATCAGCCTTTCTTGAATCCTTTTCAGCGTTGCTGTAGAGGAAGGACACCGGATAAAGGGTGTAATCATCCGGATGGAGCTTCGCCGAGCCATTCATGTCAACGCAGCCCAGAACCAAATGGGCCGCCTGCGACAGCCAGAAAGAATCTTGAAGAGTGTCCCAGTTTTGGCAGGTAAGCACATAACTGAGTCGGGAGCTGGCAAGGCGGGTCAGACTGCGGTCGAAGATTGTCATGAACCGATTGCGCATATCCACATCTTCCGTCCTAGTTCCAATCAAGAAAGCATGCTCTAGGCGGACCGTCAGCTCAGTCCGAGTGATCTTGGAATCTTCGTAAATTCTAATAACCAGATCCAGGAACTTCTTGAGCATTGTGTGGTCCGATCTCGATTCAAAGAGCAACATCTTATGCAAGACAGCCGTCTTCTCTTTCAAGGTCGGCCAAGACTCCGTCGATTGGAATATCCAGCTCTCGACCATACCGAGCACCTTGCTGCAAAGCTTGATGTTTTGGGATCGCTCCACGAGTTGCGCCAACACGCTCAGGAAAGGACGCCTTTGCTCTCCAAGGTTGGACATGCGTACGGAGATCAACTCAATTGTCTTGAAGATCAGATCAACTCCGATCTCATATTCCTGCTGATCAGGCACTCCTTCTGCTGGTTTGGCACCATTGTTTTGTCCGTTGTTATTTTGTCCATTGTTGTTTTGGGCAGTGTTGTTCGTGGAGGCCGCAACATGCTCCTTTGCTAATTTCTGGGAGAATGCCTTCATGACCGATGCAATATGAGCATCCATCTCAGCGGGCTTGCTCTTAGACAGCGTCCAAAGAACATTCAGGCTCGACACGTAGTTGTTGGCTGAGAGGGTTTCGGTCGCGATAGCGGACAAATACGTTACAAACTCAGAAGGCGAGTGTTCAACATCCATTGCATCTTCTTCCTCCGGTTGGTCATCCGGAAGAGCGTCCAGGACACGCATTACGGGAGGCGGAAGCTTGGGGGAGATGTCGATTTCGTCTTCCAAGCCCTGAAGACAGTCCTGAATCTCTGGATTGTCTGAACGCAGAGGTTTCTCGAACAGCTTTTGGATTGAGGGCAAGCGGGCCATGATCCAGTCATCGGTCTTTGCGGCAAGAAGTACCCGCACGACTTGCAGAGCATTGACCATACTCGTGACGTGCTTTTCGTCCGGCTTGTCCGCCTTTTCTCCCACGAGGATGGGTTCCGTGACTTTTTGGTATAGCTCAATGTCAAGATCACCCCAGTACTCCGGCGACAGTAGATTTCGCAACAAATACATAGCCTTCTTGATCATGTCGCCCGTGAGGACGGGAGGCTGCGATTTGTTCGAAGGAAGATCGCGGATATGAGCAGCAGGAACAGGGAACCGCTCAGGGACGGTCGTAATGAATGAAATGAGATATTTCGTCAGGTTTGCCCGAAGATCCGAAGGAACCATATATTCAGTGCGTTCACGGGAACTGGGAGGTCCCAGTGCTGGAGAAGGAGTGGACGTAGCTTGGCCGTCCTCCAGCTTCCGTTTCTTCATGCTTGGCGATTCATGCGTACCATTTGGCAAAGCAGCCTGACTTTCGACGCGCTTCTGTTCCCAAAGCCAGATGAGGTTGATCAAATTCAGGGCGAGCTTCTTGCTTTCGTTCGACGAATTAGGCGGCGAGGCGATCTTGACCAAGGAGGGGACAATCAGGGGGACAAAATGCTCCCTCGACTCGTAGAAAAGATCTGGCTGGCGCACGAGGAATTGGAAGATGCACATAACCTGCTGCAGGTTGGCCGTTTCTTCGGCCAGAATGCGCCGAGGCCATTTAGCCCACAGCGGGTATCGAGTATCCGGTGTCTGGGCGTTGCTGCTTGCTGCCAAGATCCTGGTGGGCAACACAGGAGCCAGAACGTCCAAGGCTTGAGTGACAAGAGCTTTGCCCTCGTTTTGGTGTGCCCTTAGCAGAGCAACATAGACCTGGACGACAATCTTGAACGGCGTCTCATAATGCGCAATGAAATAGCTGATGAGGACATATGCGCCGTACTTATTGATGATATCTTCCAGCCGAATGTAGTTCCAAGCAAACTTGATGATGTCTTTTCGCGAATCTTGCACAGTTTGGTGATGGTACTTGATCAGCAGCGCAGAGAGTTGCAAAAGTTCCATGCGGGAATGGTCGACACCAGCTTGGTTGGATTCTTCACTCAGATCGGCTAGTTGAGGCTTCCACAGACGACTCTGGATGAATTCGGTCATGCTCTTGTCCATCAACTTGGGGCTGTTCGGTGGGTTGTTCCATGTTGTCTGAACGTCCATCGCGAAGATGGGGTTGACCAGATGACGGAAGGCATAAGTCTTCATTTTTTGCGAGCACGACCGCTGGCCGTAGAGATCCAGACATCGCATAATGACCGAGCGCCGGTAGTCGATGGATTCGTTGGTGATAATGTGGTGATAGATGAACTTCGGGAATGCCAGGGTACGTTTCAGTTCGTCCGCAGACAAGCCGTCCATCACTTCGAAAAGGAAGTCCAAGTCCTGCACCGACTCCGCCAGATAGATTGTAAACACATCCATCAATTGATCCTCGGCCTGCTCGACTCTCAGTCGCTCATTGGCGGGTAATTTATCGTTGCGCAGCTTCCTCTCCAAATCACGTCCAGAATTCAAGATCTTTGTTCTCAGGTCCGCATGCGAAACCAACCAGCGCTTGGTGGATTCAAACGAGCAGATCGAATGCACAACATAGATTCCGTTAATTGCAGCTGTGTTCTTGCCATCCGCCGCATCTTGGGCAAAGGCGGCAGACGTGAAACCTTCGGTGTCGGCAACAACTGCAGCACGCAAACTCTCACTTTCCGGATCCGCAAGAACCTGTCCAAAGAAGCGCCCGAATCGCTCCTCTTTGAAGCGAGCCTGGAAGAATGCCAAGCTCTCTTTCGGGTAACGGTTCAGGTACTTGACGAGCGGTTTTCTGAAAGGGCTGTTCGATGTTCTGCGGAGCTTCTCCTCAAGGTCTAGGACTTTGTTTACCAGGTGTTCCATGAAGGATGTTGCAGCCGACGGGAGCAGGTGGAAGATATTGAAGATGGCAGCGACGATCTTCATGTGCGGGTTTTGCTCGACAAGGCTGAAAGACACCTTTTGCAGGAGAGCGTCGTCGGCAATCACCTTCATGTGGTCCAGAAGACGAGCACCAATCTCGACCTTGAAGTAGTTGGTGAGCAAGGTCAACAACCGGGCTAGTCCATCGAGTCCCGCGACACTCAACCGCTTGGGATCCTGCAAATTCATGAGGATCGGGCGGAGACCGTTCTGCAGCAGATCCTTGGGGAGCTTGTTGGTCTGGGTGAGAACATCCCGCAGACCCGCGTTGGCGGCCTCAATAACTTCGGGCGATCGTGAGTAGAGCGATTTGAAGAAGACGGAAATGATGCGAGCACGACTCGTGTTTTGAGGAGTGTTGGCGAACTCCTGGAAACTCATCGCCATCGACAATAGGCGAAGACAAGCAACCCGCAAGTTGACAATCATTTCCGCGTTCTTGAACTCATTAGGTTTAGGTGCCAGAGACTCATCATCGGCATCAGCCAGGGCAAGAGACTCGAGCATCAGCCGGTTGAGCGGATCATTGAAAGTGACGATATTGTTATGCAAGCCCAAGCAGAATGTGATCGCATCGATAAAGCCGATTTGGGTGGAGAAAGGCAGAGCGCGCAAAGGCTTGTTGAAGATCGACTGCAGTAGACGGTCTTTGACGGGGAAGATCAACTCGTGAAGTTGGCAGCCAAGAACTTCGGCGATGGTTGAGAAACTCCGACGAGAGGCCTCACGGACGAACTTGTTCATGTGGGACAGTTCGTACACAAAGAACCCGCAGAGCGAATAGAGTCGGCTCTTCTCGTTCTTCATGTCTTCCTTGGAAACATTCTTGCAGCACTTTCTTAGAATCAAGTCCAGGGTGTCTCGCGCTTGTACGCGTGTACTGGCAGGAAGGTCGGCCGGCGTGTCCTTGATCACGTACATGAGAGCTCGGACAAACTCGGCCTGTTTGTCGAAGAGCCAAGTGTCACCCAGGTCGAGCTGAGTTGCGAAGAGGTGGATACCTAGACTGCCGCCAGCCTTCGTAAACCACTCCTCGCTGTGGCAGCTGTGGCAGAAGACACGACCCAAGTGCTGGAAGAACGGCAGCTTCGATACGCGGTCTGGTGTGCCGAACATAACAGCTGCTGCTTCTTTCATCACTTGCATCGCTGCCTGGGCACCATCACGAACCTCGGCGTTGTCGGAAGACAGGCATTCAACCACGGCTTCAGCGAGGACACGTGAGTCAAGGTACACAGGCCCTTCTCCGCTGGAAACATCAAAGGGCTTTCTGGTGTGCCTAACTTGAGCCAGTGCTCGACCCACCTCAACAATAGCAAAGTGCCTGCAGGTCTCGGCAACGAAAGCAGTCGCTGTTTGCTGGAGCTCTGGAATGGTGGTGGCAAAGATACAGGCTTTCAGAAGCTTCTTCAAGGAACCCTCCTGCGATAACTTCTTCGGGATAGAGCTGGAACGATCGGACTTATCCATGATGTCTCCCATGTCGGTAGTCTTGTTCTCGAAAAGATCATTTGCATGCAGGCGAATGAGCGAGGCAAGGTCATCTGGAAGGTTTTCATGTCCGATATAAAGCTTCAGCTGGGAAGAGAGCATGCGGAAGGCCTGTTGCTTGTAGTAGATGTCAGACGCCTTTGCTTCAGCGGTCTTCGGAGACTCCATCAATTTCCCAATCGCCAGGTCCACGCCGATTCCGATAGGGAACGGTCGCTTTTCGCTGGGTCCAATAAGCTTGATGTCAAAGCTCGGCGCATCGTCGGTATACTGCTCGAAAGAAAGATCCGGGGGATGGTTGAGGAACTTCCTGTTGCGGCCACCCAGCTTGCCCAATATTCTCATTGTCGTGTGAGCATGGAAATGGTTATAGGGATGCGGACGAAGGTGGTCCCAGAGCGCTGTCATCAATTCATCCATGATCGGGGCCATTATGGGATCCAGATAGTCTGCCGTGAGGTTGTCCACGCACAATTCAAGCGTCCGTAGACCTTGCCCTACTAGATCTGAGTCCGCACGCAACGCCACGACGATCGGGCGCATGAGATAGCTGAGATGTGGAAGTAGATGACTGAGGCGGGCTGGAACAGTAAGAGTCAGCTCGACATACAAGTCACGCTCTTGTGGCTTCCTCGCTGCGAGTAATAGATTATTGAAAGTCTCGAGAAGCATTTCTAGTAACGGAAGGATTTCCTTGTACAGAAGCTCAAAGCGGCCACCACCAATGCTGCGGAAGAGGGAGCGCAGAAGGAGAAAGTAGTTCATAGGCTCTTCCGCCGTCACAGAGAGCTCAATGCACTTGGTGACAATCTTGGTGACATGGGGATGAAGCACCTGTTCATTCTGAACGGAGAACAACGTGACGGCCATGAACGAAAGCTTGAACATCCTGAGCAAGATCTTCGCCTTGGTCATGTCAGAAGTACCAACTTCGTGGATCCGTTCCATGAGATATTGCAGGACCATCCCGGAGAAAGCGGGTGATGTGGCCTCGCTGGCGAGGAAGAACTGGGGAAGGTGCAGAAGGGCACCATGTTCGAACATGAGCTCATGGAGGTAGGGGATCTCTGAGTGGAAGACTTCGTGGAACGTCGCGGTGTCGATGCAGTGAAAGACGGTTCCAAAACTTTCCAGTAGTTCCTTCTCCTCGCGAGACATGGGCGCCGTGTATTGACTGGCCAGAAAGTCGAATGGCGAGGAATAGCTCACATCCGGGGGTGACTGGTCCACGCCGTAGTACTTAAATACTCGAGCACCTTCGTGGAATAGTTTCTTGATCACCCGTACTTCCTCGGCATTGTATCCATAGGAGACCTCAGACCAATTGATCGGGACGTTGTTAGGATCTATTTGGATGTGATCGGGGTTGCAATTCTTGAGCTGATGGAAAATGGTTTTGAGACCATTGATCAAGTTCTTGAAGAGGAAGATGTTGTCCGACACCGGATCTCCGCCTCGATCGCGAGGGTTGGAAGTCTTGATGGGAGAAGCGGAAAAGATATCAATCTCATCCCAGTCCGGTGGGTGGTCCTTGTCGGCGAGGTATCTCTCTGATGAGGGTTCGATGTCTTTCTTTGTCGCCTTGTATAACTGCGAGACCTTCACAGCGTTATCGAACTGGTGGTTCATGGATGCAAACTTGTCACCGATCGCATCGAGAATCATGATCAGAAAATAGCGAGCCTCCCGCTTGTCGTCCAGTTTAGATATCCGTTCCGCCATGTTGAGTAGCAACTTCGCGCTCATCGTCTGGAAGCTCGTGCCGGGGAAATCATCGTGCAGGTTTTTGGTGTACACCTCAACAGTGCGGCGAATCTGATCGCGGGATAGATGGTCTCGGACGTGGTGGATCAGATCTGCCAGCATGCTATAGGCGAGGGGTCTCATTGTTTCATACACGGTGAGGCCATCGCCAATGAGAGTCCGCTCGTCGAGCAGTTCGTCGATCTTCTCTAGAAAGATTTTGCGGTAATTAAAATTAATGATGTGACGGATGGCGACAAGGAGTTCCTTCCTCGCACTGGATTTCTCCCTTGGACAGTCTTGGAGCAGCCGTACAACGACCGATGGAAGTGTCGGAAGAAAGTCTTGCAGTTGGTGCGCGTACATTCTTAGAAGGTATGCCAAGAAACTCATTGTCTTCACCTGCGCCGTGATAAATTCACCAAAAGCGGAGCGATTTCGAATCTCCTTGCAAACGCCCGTGAATATCTGTCCCTGAGCTGCGGCTTCCGTATGCGCTTTCTCCTGCGGCTTTGCCTGCAGCAGCAGGATACTCTTTATGAGGGGCACGAAAAGCTTGACATTCTGCACGACCGAGTTGCGATGGGTCTGGAATATCGAGACGACGATGATGGGACATTCCGCCAGGACCTTGAAAGATTGCATGCCTTTGAGCAGGATGTTGCTGGCCTGCTGATCTGGGCCGAGGTCGGAGACAGAAGTGGCGGGTGAGCTTGGTCGCGGGGACTGGAAGTTCTGAGCGGTTGCACTGGGCGTCGAGGGCATCCCCGACGGAGTCGCCTGGCTGGGAGTGTCAAATGTGTCTCGGACCACCTGCTCCATCGTCTGAAACATCTCCTGGATGAGCTCCAAAAACGGTTGTACCCGGGCCGCGGTCGCCTTGGCCTGATTCCGCTCCAGGTCCATTATGGTCTTCATGCACAGAACGGCGTTTTCCTCGTTTTCGATCCGAACCAAGTCCATCAACATATCTACCATATCCGCAGCGTAGGGTTCGACGTCGGGAGATGCCAATTGTAACCGGTGGAGGGTCTCGAGAACACAGTTGCGCAATTTCTATAGAAAGAAGGGGTGAGTCAGCCTCAATCCCGAGCGGGTGGTTGTGGTTGGTGGTATTATGAGCGGGGGAGAAGAAAGTCGCGACTAACCTGCTCGAACGACGAACTAGAGAATACCGGTTCGCCCTTGAGGATTGTCTTGAAGACGGGCCATAGCTTGGAAAGAAAGATGGGATAGCTCGCACCGGAGCATAGTGGCTCTATATTGTCTCGTAATTCAAGTGCGACATTGGACCGGAGCTTGATATCTGGTTGGAAAGCGAAAGTAAGCAACAGAGAGCTTGGAGGAGAGTCCGCAATCTCCGCTGATAGAAGCTTTCTTCTCGAGTCACCGAGGACCAAACGTACCAAGCTTCTCATCCGCCAGCTTGCTGGCGTAGATGTCGATGTTTCGCTCCATGGTGGAAGCAACTCCTTCGGAGTTCTCAGCAAATATGACGGGATTGAATTAATGCCAGGCCAAGGGGCCGGCCAGGAATCGGAAACCAGCACAGTTTGCGTTGGACGTCGTGTTCACATGCGGGATAGCGACGGAGGAAGCTTTTCTCTATTCGCCCGGCGAGAAAAGACGCTTCATCAGACAGAGAACGAGGAAAGGTCACAGTCGTAAATTCATTAATCCCACCGGGGCAAAAGGCAATTAGAGTAAAAGGAGAGAAAGAAAGATTAGTTAGTAAAAGAGCGGAGTTTAGAGTGCCCTGGGTGGAGTGGGGGGGGGAGGATGGGGTATCTCGAGGACAAGAGTGAATGCGCGCAAAATCACGCCTGCAAATGAACATGAGCAGAAAGGTAGAGAACGCGGGTGTCGCAGAGACCCCGAACGCTTAAGCTAGTCCGAATGAGGAAGTTTCGGGTATTCGATTCTCCATTCCGCCAAGCGCGCGTCTACTACGCGAGTATCGGTTACATGGCCTATCAGCGCGTCGTAGGCGGTCAGGTACAGGTACAGGGGCACGTGGTCCCACCAGTGCGCCCAAAAAAAATGCTAGAGCACTATAGGAAAAGTAAAAAGGATGGGTTGACTCTGGTTCAAGGCTATGCCGTAAATACTTCATGTGTACAAACTCAAATGAGGTCATCGATTTCAATATCGACCGAGGGAAACGCCATTCGCACCCGTTTTCCAGCCCCGAACACAGTTCTAATAGTCCAACTTAAAAACGTCCACATAGAAACAGGGGCTCAACACGACCCTGCACGCGGAGAGAAGAATATTGAAAGCCATGTACACAAAAGGGAAATCAAAGGAAGTGATGAAAGAGAAAACGTGAAAAGAAGATGGGGAAGAAATGGAGGATGAAAAGTGAAAAGGGGGAGGAACAAGAAAAAAAGAAAAGAAATAAGACAAGACGAACAAGCGATTTGGATCAAAACCCAAGAAGAAGAACCAAATATACTTCATCGCAGCTCGTAATCGCTAATGCCGTCGTAGTAGAAAGTCTAACGAGTAAAATGCCATAAATTCGATTGTCACTTGGTGGAGTTGCTTCGTGACAAGATCGTTACGGCACCTGAGCCAACCGATCTTCGTCGCGGTCGAATCTCACTGCCGCTACCACTTCTTCGCCTCCTGGGACCATCGATGGAACCTCGGCGCCGTCTCTGGAGTATTACGGACGTTTGACGTTAGAATCACGCTTGCTGTACATGGAAATCGACAACTTCTTAGTAATGACTAACGACAGCAAAGGGGGGCAAGATAACTCGGCGAGGTGCAGAACATGTCAAGCATGACAAAAACCACACGCACACGGTCAGGAGGGGATGAAACTTACCGATCCCCCGGTAGCCCTTCTCTCGATTGGCGCACCGGACTCATCCAGTTTTAAAGCATGCAGACGCTTCTGGCTATCGTTGGTGAGTGATTCGACTTCGTCCACCTGGGCTGGAACCTCCACAGACGACGGCGCCGGAGGCGGAGCAATGCCGTTCTGTCTATCCTTTGCCCGCTCGGCGACCTTCTCCCAACGGCTTTGTCGAGCTCGTTCGCGTTGTTCGGCGCTATTTTGTCGTTCGTTGTATTCATGCGAGCATTCGTCAAAAAGTTGGGGGTTGATCTCCATAAACATCTTCATAGCGTTGTACACCATGCTGTGGATAGTTCTAGGGCAAGTTAGACCATTGCGCCGGGGGAGGAATAGTTAAGGGCTTCCAAGACTTGCCTGTTCCAGTGACCCTTTGAGTTCTCGTACAAGGGAGGGAACATGATGGGTAAAATTGTATCGACATTGTCGCTGACCAGGTTACAGAAGTATTCGTTGTTCCAGAAGTAGAGTGCTCGCTCGGCGACCTGCACAAGACATATTAACGGCTGAAAAAAGGGGGAGTTGATCAAGGACAGTACAAACCTGGAAGTGGGGGCTTGCAACCGATTTGGCCAGCTGCTGGAACAGAGGCTCCTGAACCTTTGCAAACTCGGCCGGGTCCATAACCTCAAAGATATCCTCCACTTCATTCAGGTACATGACCTCTTTGGTGCTGTTGACCTTGGGCCAGTAGCGCAGCAGTCCAAGGACAACCTATTATCTGAATTAGCAAAAAGTAGTAATTCTGGAACGAACAAAAAACCATACCTCTTCCGTTAGAGACGAGTCCTTCTCGAGGAATTGGACGATACAATAAGCCAACTGAGGGTGATACATGCTGAGACTCTTAACTTTGTGCAGGGGAAGCAAGACCCTTGTTAAGAAGAGCTTGTGTTCCTCCTTGAGAGGAAGAGCAAACCCGTTGATGATCGACCCTAGGATTTCCAAGAGTTCCGCAATACCGTTGAATCGCTCTGTTTCGTATGTGAACTGGAAGAAAACGTTGTTGATGGACCGGCGAATATACGACCGCAGGTTCAGGAATTTTCCATAAATGCGATGCAGGGTGGTCTTGAGGAAATCGCGTTCCCGAGGATCTTCGGAGTCAAACAGCTCCAGTAACTAGAAAGGAGGTCAGTTCACATCCAAATCTGTGATTTTCTCCTCGGCAGTAACATACCTGGAGCACGAAATGATGATCAATATAGGCCTTGGCGATGTTCGTGTTGAAATCCTGACTCTCGATGAACCTCAAAAAGAACTCGTAGACAACCTGGATGTGAGGCCAGGCCACTTCCAGAACCGGCTCGTCCTCCTCCGGGTCAAACGCCTCTCCCTGAGGCGTCACGGGCGGAGGAATCGGTCGGAACAGGTTTTTGGCGAACATTTCGACCACTCGAGGATACATGGGTTCGGTGATGACCGAGCGATTGTTGGCGACGTAATCCAGGAGCTCGTGGAGCGCCAGTCTCTTGATCTCCTTGGATTTCATGTCCGCAGTGGGGTCGTTGAAATCGAAAATGATGTTACACTGATCGATCTTCTGCATGAACAGTTCTTGGCGCCGGTTAGGGGGCACTTCGTGGAAGCCGGGAAGTTTCTCCAGCTCCCGCTGACGTTGGTCGGAGATATCGAATCGCGACGAATGCTGACGCTTGGGAGTCCGAATGCCCTCGGATATATCCTTGGGGGTGGTCTGGAGGCGATCGAAGACGTGGGACTTTCGCGGGGGAGCCAGATCTCCCGGCATCGTCTCGGCGGCACCGGGCGGGGGGGCATGCTGCAACACACGAAACGATTAGCGCTTGGACAAAAAGCATGCCAAACTACCGGTGGTGGGCAGCGAGGAGAGTGAGGAGGACAGGACGAGTACTCACCGGCGCACTAGGACTGATGACCACGCTGGGGGCCATTTGCTGTCCTTGCTTTGTCGGGGTTCCCGGGGCTCCATTATTCACGGGCTGACCGGCCGCTCCCGCACCCTGTTGAACATAGTACTGACCCGGGGGGAACGCCCCGGCCTGTGCAGCATTATCCGGCGACTTCCTCGCATCGTTCACGGACGTCGAGGAGGAGGTGGGAGTGCCCTGGTTCGGGGACGAGGACTGTTGGCCATGCTGGACCCCCAGCGACGATTGGTTCTGAGCGTCTTTCTTTTTAGAGGATTTATTCGCATCTTTGGCTCTCGACAACTGCTCGTGCTGGAAAGGGAGAAAAGGGTCAGTTCGCAGATCAGAAGACGATTCGGTCGGCGTTGTTGTTTGATCGTTTCCCACTCGCGGGGAGGGGGGTGGGAGGAGAGGGGGCAGAAGGGACACGGGGGAGAAACATGGCGATTCAAAGGCGGACCACTCACCACTCTCTGTCTGAAGCCCTTCATTGTCGCGGCCTAATCGAACAGCCACATGTACTCGGTCGACGGACTAAAAGCCAGTGCAGCCAGATGCCGCACACTAGCGGGAGGGGTTGAGTGTTGGACAAGGCGGAGGCAGTTTTCAGGAGAGCCACGACGGGGAAGTTGTTTATGTCGGCCTGAGAATGACCACATGAGCATTTCCGATCAGAACACAGCAGGACATCGCGCTCGAATCGGGTTAAATTATGGCAAAAGCGGGTAGTAAATAAGGTCTGGATCGCAATTCGAGGAAAGGGACAAGGAGGACCGAAAACAACAGGAGAGACGCCCAGGCGCTGAGGGAGAGGGAGGTGAGAGAGGAGGCGGTAGAGCGAGCGAGGCCAGCCAGCCAGCAAAGAGGTAGCACCAGGGGGGAGGGGAAAGGCAAGTAAAAAGCGGTCGCCCCAGAAAGGGGCAAGAAAAACAGGAGGGAACGAGTTGATGCAGACTTACCTCGAAATAATTGGAGAGAGAGACAAGTGGGAGGAGAAGGGACAGACAGTCCAGCTTTAGGCGCGAAACACCGTAGTGGTATAGGAGCAGCCAGTCAGTCGGTCGGTCGGGTCGGCGGTAGACGATCGTCTTCCGTGTCGCTTAGCGGCTGGTTGGCAACGAAGTGGGGTGCAAGAGCCCCGGGAATTGATGGTCAAGACTTGGGGGGAAATTGGGAATGAGAATGGGACTGGATGGAGAAAATATATCGATCAGAAAATAAATCAGGAATCGTACGAAGGAGATGGTCCGTTCGAGACGCAAAAACCCCGGTCGGCACGTCGAGTCTGGCTGGATGGGGGAGAGAGAGAGAGAGAGGGAGAGGATGAGAGAGGAAGAGCGAGAAGGGGAGCGAGAAGGCGTGGGAGTCGTGGGAGTCGTGGGACTCGTTTTAGTCTCCCCATCTCTCTCTCTCTGTTTGTCTCCGTCAACAAAAAATAAAGAGGCACGGCAAATTTGACGGGCGCATCCAGATACTGCACTGTAGAGGTGTTTCCAGCGAACGTCTATATTTTATTCTTCTTTCTACACTCCTTCCGACCAGGATTTCGGCGCTGATTTCCCCATCTTTCGAGATATAAATATCCTCCCGTATCCATACTATCCCACCCTAACTACGGTATAAACCAGCGTAATTTATCCCAGCCAACAGCCATTGGATTGCAGGTAAGGGGCCCGATGTGCATGGCTGTAGGTCTACCAGGCCGTGCTTTATACTGACCTTTGACCTTCGAGACCGATCGATCCACTATATCGACTACAGCCCTGGGAATGAGCTCATAGCCCTCATGGCAACCGATCATTTTAATTTAAATTTCTTTCCCCTGGATCCTACAACCAGACCACCCCGTTGGTATGTCAAATTGGGGTGGAGAAAAAGAGGGCAGACTCCAACGTTGCATCTTGGATGCAGTTCCATATGCACTCCGAGACGTAAGGACTGCTCCTGAGTCGAACGGATTCTCTTTCCGCCTGGACTCGGCAGGGCGAAAAATGCAGTCGATGTGAGGGGATCAGGTGACTCGAGCCTGGCAGTGGTGCCGCTTTACCGCACGTGACAGTGGTGTGTCCTGCTGGTAAAGCGGCGGGACTCTGCTTTTATGCGGTTCTTCCCACTGCGTCAGGATCGCCGGAGCAGTGCTTTGCTTTCCTCCTGCCTCTTATTCGAGAAAGACGTTTTTCAGTCAACCCTTTCTTTGTTCATCATTAACCTTATTTACTCTCATCTTAAATTTCACCAAATCACCGGCGATGCGGTGTTCGTAATACCTAACATTCTAGATTCCTGTACCGTGGAAATATATTTCAGGCTTCTGTACCTCTTCCACATAGAGTAGCTGGCCCTATATATACAGAGGGATTAGAATACGCCAGCAATTTCCTTCCTAGGTACCTTGCCAACCAACATGGACACCAACCAAATATCAGAATGGCACAGTTCCAGAACGGCCCCCTTCTACACCGTCCCACCCCGAAACCTCGTCAGCGTCGAGCATCCTGCCATTATCAAAGATGCCGACAAAGCAATTGATACTCTGCAAGGCAACGCAGGCATCTCAAAGGTAAATACACAGTGTCATCCCCTTTAGATGAGCTTTCCAATCACTAACCTCGCAATATAGATCCTGAACCCCCCAAAGGCCGACACATCGGCAAACCTCCTCTTGCGGCCGGAGGATGCCATGTCCCGACCTTTGCAGTCGACTAGCTCAGCGTCCAGCAACGTCCTGCTGAAGGTGACGGTGCCGAAGCGAACGGGACGCAAGAGGAAGAAGGGATCCGATGAGCCTTTCTCCGGAGTCGCGGTTACGACCATCCATCGCGAGCCACAGCGGCCCGGAGCAAGGCATTTGCTGAGGACGCTCCGGGATACGGAGGGCAGGTATCAGGTTGAGCCGGTGGGGTCGATTAATCGCACGCATGTGTTTCGAGGTTTGTTTACTTTCGCATCTGTGGATTGGAGGGGAGGAAGGGCTGACCTTGGTCTTTAGGGATGCCGGATTTTGTGTATTCGACCGCCGGGAGCGAATTCAGTAATCGGTTTCGAGAGAAAATTTTGTCGTTTGATTGTATGGGATCTCTTTCATCTTTTTTGGGGTTCGAACGCTAACTGGTTGCTAGATGATAAGATGAGACAATGGGACCTGGACATGACCAAAGGCGTCATCTCAAACGTGGACATCATCCCTCCTCCATCTTTCAGCCACGGAGACGTGCCGTTCGGCTACATGTATGGTCTCTCACATCGCTATCAACCACCCCCGGACTAACCATCTAACCAGATACCACCAAAACCCCACCGTCCGCCAATCCGTTGACACATCCGGCAACGTCACCACAGTGAACACGCAAACCGCCTCCAGAATCATGACCTTCCTCGTCCCCTACGACATTCCCACCGTACCCTCCGCCCCGCGCGATTCCCTCCCGGCAATCAGCACGCTCGACAAGGGCCTCCAAGAGACCATCTCGACCGTCCAATTGCTCTTCCAAGACCGTCCCGCCTGGACCCGTCGCGGCCTCCGCAATAACATCACCTCGTCCGAACAGCGCTACCTCCTCCGCTACGCCGTCCCCTATGTCGGATACATCTTCCGCTCGGGGCCGTGGCGCGACGCCATCGTTAAATTCGGTCACGATCCTCGCTCTTCCCCGGAATATCGCAGATACCAAACCGTCATGTTCCGTATCATTCCTCGCGAGGCGGAGCTTGCGCGCGATGGCGGCCACGGGAGAAGACATACTTTCACTCGGCCTAACGACTCCTTTCCCTCGGGTTCCACCGTCGACCCTGTCATCCCAGACAGCCACATGTTCACTGGCACGTTGCCTCTCCACGTCGACGGCCGCATCTGGATGCTCTGCGACGTGGTCGACCCGCTCGTCAAATCCATCCTCTTCCCTGAATCCTCCCCCTCCTCCCCCTCATCCTCTCTTCCAGAAAACTTCCTCCGCCAAACCTGCGACCCAGTAACAGACGGGTGGTTCGGGAACGGCACGCTCGCAAAAGCCAAAGCCATCATGCGCAACAAAGTCCTCTCGCTCCTCGACGGCACCGTCTCCGATGACGCGGACTTCGCGAAAATCCTCCAGTTCCCGGACCATGTGGATTTGGAAAACGTGGTCGCGCAGTTCTCGGTGAATCCGAAAGAGGCGAGCCCGAAGGATTTGGCCCTCGCGACGGAGGTGAGGGCGATGTTGAAGGGGTCTGCAAATTGGAAGGAGAGGACGAGGGAGGCGGAGGTGGAGATGGAGAAGGGGAAGGGGATGGGGATGGATGAGCGGGAGGATGGGGTTGGGGAGGAGGAGGAGGAGGGAGAAGAGGGTTCTGGGGCAGGGGCTGGAAAAGGGACGGAGAGGGGAGTTCGGTGGCAGGATGGTGATGACGATGGACGTGGGGGAGCGGATTCGGGGGAAGAAAGTCAAGGGGAGGAAGAAGCTATTGAGCAGGAGGAGATTTTGGAAGCGCAGGCAGCGGCGGCGGCGGAATCGGTGAATGCAGCGTTTGAGGAACGAGCACCGGCACCACAGGACGAAGAGCAGAGTTCCGATGCGGGGGATTATGATGAGATGGAGAGGAAAAGAAACGCCAAAGGCAAAGGTCGACAGCTATAGCTAGTATCTACCTGCTACCTACTATCAGACAAGTTTATCATCTTTTACGAAGTAACCATATTATACAGCTCAAGGACCAAATAATTTCAATCAATCAATCAATTAATGAGATGGTTGTATATACATCATAGACATCATTCGACGTAACGCATTCTCGATCATTAGATAGTACAGAAATGGCATGGCATGGCATCGTCCCAGCAAATGAATGAATCAAGTTCCAGCAGAACAGAAAGACCACAAAGCAAAGGGTAGCAAGACCCCAGACAGACTGACAAGATTTTGTCTTCGTATATAAGGTAAGGTAAGAAGAATAAGGGAAGGGTGAGGTAATAGAGGTAAGAGTCAAGGAGATAGACTGGATATCTAACGAACAGACTAGAGGAAACAGAACAAAGGAGATAAACCAAGAGACAACTAGCGGAAGGGTCAAGAAGCAAAACAAAGGAAAGATTCGGGTATCGAGAAACAAGTCGCAAATAACAGACCCTCCCGAGCGCGAGGATGTCTCATTCAACGCCACCTGGTTGGAGCAACGCCTGATTGAATGCCGGGTTTAGTAAAAGCATGAAATGTTTAAGCGGAAACTGGGTCAGACTCTGCAAGGGAGTCCTTCTCGGCTTCATCCGCAGCACTTCCGCTTTCCCAGATCTCGACCTCGGCGTCGGCGTGATCGGTAGGCTCCGTGACAGGTGCTGTGGGTGCAGTTGCTTCCAGGATAGAAGAAATTGAAGAGACACTGGAGAGCTTGCTTTGGGTGTGGTGAGAGCTGCCTGAGGCTCGGGACACGGACGGAACAGAGGTCTTCTTTTCAGGTTCGGCGGCCTCCTCGTCATCGTAGATAATGGCATAGGAGAAGGCGTGGCAATCCTCGCCATAGTAGTCGGCCGTATTTAGCTCGCCCAACGGAGAGCGGGATTCCTCCATCATGACGGATTTCCGGGCCGCGGCAGCAGGGGACTCCTGCTGACGAGAGCGAGGCAAGGAGAGGCCCAACTCTGCAGGAGGGATGTTCTCCTTGCCGCAGGTGCTCGGTTCCACCTTTCCTTCGTCGTCACTGATGTCCAACACACCGGTCGAGTGCTGCATCAGGTTGGTCATCTCCTCCTGCTCCGAGTCCACGTAGATATCAAAGGACCAGGACGCAGGGACTTTGGCGGGCTGGCTCTTAGGCTTGCTATTGGACAAAGCGGTCGCGATGGAGAAGGGGCGGTTTACACTTTTTCTGGCGGTTGGATCGACACGGGATTTGGCGATGGTTGAGCGACGAGCGAATGGCTTGCAGGACTTGGCCTGGGGGGAGCGACCAGCAGGCTTCAGAGTGGGGGCGGATTTTGGAGTCGAGGGGATTGCTCTGGGGGGCACAGGCGATGACTTGACGGTGGTGAGAGCCACGCGGGAAGCCTTGAGGGGCTTGGAAGGGCCCTTGACGGGCTCGTGGTCCTCTTCGTCGGCACCACGCTTGCGTTTGGAGGAGTGATTCAGGGTGACGGGGTCGATGTTCTCGGAGTCAATGTCGGACAGTGGCTGACGCTTGCTCGTCAAGAGAGCGCCTGATACCACAGACGGGTTAGCAGACTCGTACAGGGACTGTCGATCCGAAGGGTGGTGAGTTTAGCGCGGACATACCATTTTGCTTGTTCTGCACGTTCATCTTGGTCTTGAGCAAGGAGCGTACTCGCGGGGCATCCAGGCTGGCAAAGGGTTGTCGCACGGGAGTAGAAGTCATGGTGAGGGTTGCCATGATGAGAGGATCGAATAATAAGCGAGAAAGAAACGAAAAAGACGCGACTTTCTGGTGGATTGAGGGATAAGACGGGGTTTATTTATCTGGAAAGACGGGGGGGGGGGGATTGTTTTGGTCGCGCGGGAGTGGGGTTGACGGATGATTGGCGGTCGGGCAGGAGTATAGAGGATCACTAAAGCGTAGTGCAGGATTGACGGAAGAGACTAAAGTTGGATTGTCTGATGGTTGGATGGACGTGGATTTCCTCGAGGATGATCGGAATCAGACGGTTTGAACGGATGGAATGGATTGAATGTTGAATGTACACGATCACACCTCGACCACCAGTGTTAGAGGGGATGAAGGGAAGAAAGGGAAAGCAGTAGGAGGAGGCGAAGGAGGATATAAAAGAAGCGAGCGAGGCAAGGGCAGAACGAAAGGGGAAAGGTAATTGAATTTTGCAGAGGGCAGGGAATCATGCAGGTATGAAAGGCTGAACGGGAGCGGCATGAATGGAGGCGCGCGTCGAGCGTGAAGAACTAAGGAAAGTCGTGACTCTCGTGAGTCGTGTCGGGTCCGCATGCAAGGCGCGTCTGATTATTTATTCCATTTATGACTTCTTTTATGATCATGATCATGATAATTATTTTTATATTATTATTCCTTCTATCTGAATAGATCCATCTGGAGAATGATTCATTTTTATTTAATTAATTGAACTCAATTCGAGGATTTCTCATACTCCTACGCCATACTATTCCGCTGAGAGTCTCCTCCCTTCAACGCGTCCCAGCACGTCCCTTTCCTACTTCCCTCTTCCTTGCCGACCGTCTGAATCTGACCCCATCCGTCGCGTGTCATCACTCGAACACGTATTCCCATCCCATGTTTCACCGTCCTGCGTTTGTGCTGCATCTGCATCGCTCTCGCGGCCTCCCTTCCGGGGGGAAGACCCCGCGACCGTCTCTCTGTCCGATACCTAGACCTAGACCTGTAGACACGCCCAAGTAAGGATCCCTCTCGAGTCTCATTCGCCCGGCCTATTTTAGGTTGATTTGGCTCGTTCGTGCATCGTCGGCCCCCCAGCCTGTGTTTCATCCTTCTGAACCCCTCTCGACTAGTCAGAGAGACGCTGCGAGGTTCGATCCCCCCTCGCGAGGAATGAGATAATAATACAGTTCTACTCCGAGGATCCTCGCCGAAAGATCCTCTGACTGGTCGCGTTGGTGAGTCTAGACGCTGCTTATGCATCGTACGCGCCCGGACGCATCCAGGACGGTTCTCGTGGCGCCTGTGAATGATATAAATTCCATTCTTCGCGTTCGACGGGCAGGACTCCGGGCTCTGTACAATCTTCCAGACATTCTTGGCTCTCTTTTGCCACTGGCGATCGGCAAGGTTGACGCCGTGCTATTCTGGTCCTCGATCTGTCATTTGCTGTCTTGCCAAACGCTTCTTCCATGGGTTACATCATGCTTTCTCGCTTTGGTTGGCTATTCTATAATTATATCTTTCTCAAATACTTTCCCTGAATACTCTATCTTTATCCGAGCTCTCAATTATGCAATATTATACACCCGTGACGATTCATTCATCCGCTTCCTTCCCGTTTGCAGTCCTCTCTCAGATCTCGTCCTCCCAAGGAATGCTGTCCATCGCGCCTCGTCGCTCGACCCCGCGGGCTGCGGCTCGCGTTGCCAGTCCCAGTGCCTCGTTCATCACCTGCTGATAGCGAACCGGTTTCTCCTCGGCCGTCACGTCCTGCCCGGCCTTGCCGTCGGCTCGTCGCTGCTCGCGCCATCGCGCCACCTCCACCGCGTACGCTCCCACAAAAGTGTCTCCGGCGGCGGTCGTGTCGAGCACCTGGCTGACCTTGGCGGCGGGCAGCTGGTTCGTGAACCGGTTGACGCCGTCGACTGGGCCGGATGTCTTGGCCTCAGTGGCACTGTACCAGACGCCCTTGGACCCTAACGTGATGAGCACGTAGGTCACCCCTAGCTGGTGGAAGTACCGCGCCACCTTCTCGTTGCCGGGCTGACCCTCCGCGTCCGGAACCACCTTCAACAGCTGCCCTGCCGGCGGAGACATCAGCTCCGCCTCCGTCTCGTTCATCACGAAGTGGTCCACCGCCGCATACACATCCTCCGGCAGTCCGCCCGGCGGCGCAGGGGCCGGGTTGAACAGGACGTCCGGGCCCACTTCGATGCCTCGCTTGCCCTCCGCCCGGTTCTTCGCCTTGAACGCCGCCAGCTCCCGCAGAATCCCAATCGTCGTGTCCACGGGAATCTCCCCTTGCATGACAATCACGTCCGGCACGGGCGCCGCCAACCCCATGCCCAACACTTGCGGCTCCGGCTTCATGCCCTGGTAGTTGGCGCCGGGGGAGAACAAAATGCGATTCTCGCCGCCGGCCGACTCGTCGACGACAATCACCGCCACGCCTGTGTAGGCATCCCCGATGACCTGGACGCGGGACGCGTCAACGCCCGATTTCTCCAGCGTCGGCTTCAGCAGCGCGTCGAAGTGTCCGTCCAGTGCTCCCACGGCGCCCACCATCTCCACCTTGACGGGCGACTTGCCCGACGGCGGGGAGGGGTCGTTCTTCGATCGCGATAGTCGTCCGCAGGCAACGGCCTGGTTGGCGCCCTTGCCGCCGGCGCTGATGAAATACGACGAGGAAGTGATGGTCTCGCCAGCCTCGGGGAACCGAGGCGTCACGGACACCATGTCCACGTTCAGAGAGCCGATCACTCGGATTGTAGGAGCCATGGTCGCGTCGATCGTAGGTCGTAGGTCGTAGATCGCTAAGGGGAGGTGAAACGCGGGGATGCGGGGGTCGGTCGGTCGGTTGAATTCAAAGATGGACGGGTTGCTCGATACGGCGAGAATAGTAGATGATGATTTTGTTTTGAATCGTGTCGTTGCGTCGCTCGTTTCTTCGTGATATATCAATTGGCCGCTAGATGGTCTGATGGATGGAGGACGGTGGGATGGTGGGAGGAGGAAGAAGAAGAAGAAGAAGAAGAAGAAGAAGAAGAAGAAGGATCGGGCGGGGGAAAGTCGGCGGGGTCTCGCCCGACGGCCTTACTGCTTCGGGTTTCCATTAGGTACGCCCTTCAAGTTGTTGGTTATCAGACACCCTGCTAATAGTTAGACTGGTCATGCATACTTTATCTCAAGGTAATACTGTATGTGTATGCTGAGAGTCGAGGCTAGAGGGTCGATAGCAGACGGGATCGAAGTTCTCTCTAGGTATGACGTAACTTATCATGTTTACTTTGTGTGTAACCTTACAGGTCCTTGCAGATGCTAGTCGCGTCTTCATCGGAGCATAAAACGAACCAATGGCTACTGCTTTCCTTTAACAAACATCGTGGACGAGGTTCGACCCAAGTACCTAGCCTGATTGGCCAAATTGCAAGTCCTTGGCTGATTAGAAAGAACATTCGTCCGCACATCGCCAACATCAGCCCTTGAACCCTTCCATCCCGACAGTCTTCCCTGTCAACTTGAAGGTACCTTTCACCATGGTGCATTCAACGCTAGCATGAAGATAGTCTTTAGCGACAACACTGTCTAGATGTTTCGTTTCTCTCGGGTGGGGAGGGTCTCTGACGACTACGTCGACGAGAAAGTCGCTATGGAAGTGACGGCTCTGGGTCTTTTTCGCAAGAGGACTACTATTCCCGTTCCCACTGTCCATGCTTGGGGTCCCGCTGCCATTAATCTACTTGGTCTAGGTCCGTTTATCATGATGGACTTTATTGATGGTGTGAGCCTCAGCGACCTCCTCCGGGACCCTGACGCCGAGTGGCCCAGCAGAGTTATGCGGGAGGATATCAGCGAGAGCGACATTGAATATATCTACAGGCAGTTGGCAAATTTTCTGCTCCAGCTTTTCAAGCTCGATTTTGACCGCATCGGTAGCCTTACGCCGCCACATACTGAATTTCAAAGTTCGATACCGCTACGGCCACTAACGTTCAAGGCACATAGCATCCTACAAAATGGCGGTGTTAACAGTTTTGGTACGCCTTGTTGTCTTCCTATTCTCTTTCCCCCCCCTAATTCCGTGATCATGTGTATTGATTGAGCACATGATGTTTAGGCGACCGAGCCCAGGGGTTTGCGACGTCGACTGAGTATTTTCAATATGTTGCTACGCAGGACTGGAATCAGCTTGTCCACCAACTGAACTCGACCGATGGTTCATATGATGCTCAAAGCAAATTCGTGGCGTTCAAGGTCTTGAAAAGCCTGATACCTGGCCTGGTCCATGCGAAGTATGATTGGTGCAAGTTCAAGCTGGTTTGTGACGACCTTGGCCTAGCGAATCTGATTGTCCGAGACAGGGAAGATCTCACTGTCGTTGGAGTTGTGGACTTGGAGTGGTCATACATCGGACCCGCACAGCTGTTTGATTCAGCACCATGGTTGCTTCTTCAAGACAGGCCTGTCAACAGCACGTGGGACTTCACGGGTGACGAGCCGTCCGAGATTGCCGCCCGGTACTTTAGATGGCTTGAGATCTTTATGCGTGTCTTGGAGGAAGAAGAGGCTAAAATGCCAGAGCATAAAGACAGAGAGCTCTCCGGTCTTGTCAAGTGGTCGCAGGCCTCCGGGGCTATGTGGCTCCATATGCTTCTCTCGTCTGACTTCAATGATTATTGCAGCTTCCCTTTAACACATTTGCGTCAACATTTTGGGGCCAAATGGACGAGGCGCGAGAACGTATTTGACAATGAAGTTGAACTTGAGGCGTTTGCAGCGCGGAAGGTGAGCGAGCTGGATAAGTATGATGAAGTTTTGGAGAAGTTGGAAGATAAAAAAGCGCTCGTGGATAACGGGAGTATGACAAAGGAGGAGTTTATTGCAGCAGCACTGGTGGATTCTGGCTATACCCCTCCTCCGCTATCAACCACAACCTCATCATATTCAAAGATTGACCATCGACGACTGTCAGACTTTCTTCTAACCCACTAGTAGGGCTGATCCAAGATGCAAAACTCAAGGAAGCCCAGCTCCGACGTTAATATTAGCTCCAAACACCGGCCTCGAATCTTCACTCAACAACCAGACAATCGTCCGGGCAATATCATTTGGATCGAGGAGTTCAAAACCCCACTTTTGCCATGATTTCTTCACCTCTTCCTCTGTCTTTGCCTCCGGCACCATCGCCCCAAGCAGAGGGGTCACAGTGGCGCCTGCTCATCAAATCAGCAATGTCGGCACCTCGACGCGCCCTAGACGACGCGGAAGATACGAAATAAACAAGATCACTCACCCGGCGACACTGCATTCAGTCGAATCCCCGATTTAATGGTATCCTTCGCCACGGAGGTCGTGAAATGCGCACACGCGACCTTCGAGGTCCCGTACGCAAACACATCAGAAGTATGCATCAGCGACGCCATGCTCGCGACATTCACGATGCTGCGATCCCCCTTCTGCAGGTCTCTCATGGCGCGAACCTGCGCCTTCGTGGAGTAGAAGACGCCGTCCATATTAACAGCAAAGATTTTCTTCCAGGTTGCCTCGTCCTCTTCGGCAATGATGGGCGACTGGTGGAGTCCGGCGGTCTGCGGGATGCCGGCGACGTTGGCGGCGCCGTGAAGATCACCAAAGGTCGAGACGATTGTTCGTACCCATTCGTCGACGGCGGGTGACGAGGTCACGTCTAGAGTGGTGCAGTGTACTTTGGTAGACGGGTTGATCATTTTGATAGATTCGATAAGCTCGGGGAAGTGCTGCGTCGAGAGGTCGCCTATCGCTACTACTGCTGCTCCTCGATGAGCTAGGAGACGGGCGGTGGCGGCGCCTATGCCGGATGCGCCGCCGGTGATGGCGAATATCCTGGTTTCCACGGATGCCATTGCAGTGGTGATAAATTGGTGTTGGATGGATTGCTTATTGAACGGACGGAAAGTGATTCCGTGTTGCTAGTAGTTAGGGGAGGCGATTTTGTTGAAGCTGATGGACTCCCCCTCTTCAAGGCTGTGTCAGAGTCAGAACACACCGGCTGCAAAGTCCCTCTTAAGTAGATTTGTGTCGCAATTCTTCGCCCCCATCTGTATCCATGCAGATCTGCTGGGGCTAAGGGATCTCCGAGATCCGGGCGTCACGGAGTACTTCAGTCTCACTTTTTAGTACTAGTGACTTGGCCATCGTCCCGTTGAAGATGTGCAGCCACGGCAAACAAAGTTCTCTTCACGCATAACACAAGCCATAATACCCAATCATGGTTTTGTGCAACTTATGCCTTGCCATCCTGACAGGAAACCTTGGTCATCCGAGGAAAGCGACGATCGCCCCGCTGCTGGCTGCATGTCTGGACCGGCGGAGACTAGGGTTTCCTTGCCACCGTGACTTGACGCGTGAGGGGTTGCTTCTGGGCGCAGGTCATCACCCTGTTCTTATGCACGTCTGCGCAATCATAGTCGTCGGATCAACAGAGGGGTATGGTTACATATTGCATGATTGACTGACAATAAATATCCGTGGTCGAACTGCCATTCAGACGAAAGATGGATTGTGCTCAACAAAACCAAGTACATCAGAATATACACTTCGCACTGCCAAAATGACTGTCACCGAAAATCCCTTTCCCATTCCGACTCAGCTATTTATCAATAACGAGGTGGGTCTTACATCTTATGAATCGAAATGTTCTGTTGCTGACTGCAGAAAAGTTCATAATTCGAGCTCCCCCGAGCGATTCTCCATCTACAACCCGGCCGATGGCAGTCTCGTCACCGATAAGATCCAATATGCCGTAGCGGATGATGTCGACCAGGCAGTACGTAGTGCCCAGGCTGCATTCCGGAACAAGGCCTGGGCTGGAATTACGTCCCAAGAACGAGGTCGCGTCCTGAAGCGCATTGCCAAAGCCATTGAAGAGAACAAGGAGGAGCTTGCCTGGCTGGATCGAATCACTATGGGCAAGCCCGTTACCAATGGTATTGGCGAAGCACAATTCACGGCCGATATATTCGAATGTATGTGCTTTCTTACCATACGCCCTGTTTACACATGTCTATACAGATCAAATTCCGTACCCCGATGCTAACTTCAGCGTCGAAACCAGACTATGCCGGTTGGACTGACAAGCACGCCGGCGAGACCTTCCCCGCCGACGACGGATTCCTCAAGATCGTCCAGCACGAGCCGCTCGGTGTCTGCGCCGGCATCCTGCCCTGGAACGGCCCCATGGCCACGATCGCCTTCAAAGCCGCCCCAGCCCTAGCCACCGGAAACGTCATTATCCTCAAGCCGAGCGAGAAGAGCCCCCTCTCGGCCCTGCGTCTCGCGTCCCTTCTCACGGACATCCTCCCCTCGGGTGTCCTTCAGGTCCTCAACGGCGCCGGAGCCACAGGCGAGCTCCTCGCGCGACACCCTGACATCCGCAAGATCAGCTTCACCGGGTCCGGCCTAACCGGCAAGAAGATCCAGCGCGCCGCCGCAGAAAGCAACCTGAAGCGAGTGACACTCGAACTCGGCGGCAAGACACCCGCGGGGATCTTCGACGATTGCAACCTCGACAACGCGGTCCAGTGGGCCACGAAAGCCATCACTTCGAATTCCGGACAGATCTGCATCGCCGCGTCCCGCGTTTACGTCCAGGAGAGCATCGCAGAGAGATTTATCGCCGCGTTCGTCAAAAGCATCCAAGCCTCCGCCGAAAACATCGGCGACCCAAACAGCAAAGATACCCAGTTCGGGCCCCTGGCTGATAAAGCGCAGTTCTCGCGCGTGCAGTCCTTCTTCGCTGAGGACGCGGGCAAAACGCAGATCCTGACGGGTGGCAAACAGCACGGCGAAACGGGCTACTTCTTCGAGCCCACCGTGCTGTATAACCCGGATCCGCAGGCCGCGGTGTACAAGAACGAGATCTTCGGGCCGGTGGCCTGCGTGCGGACGTTCAAGGACGAAGAAGACTTTCTGCAGATGGCGAATGATACCGAGTATGGGCTTAACGCGGCGGTGTTTACCAAGGATATCAACAAGGCGATGCGGATTAGCTCGCGGCTGGAGAGCGGTACGGTGGGGATTAATTGTGTGACGATGCTGCATTATCAGGTGCCGTTTGGGGGGTCGAAGCAGTCGGGCTTTGGTAGGGAGCTTGGGGCTTATGGGCTCAAGTCGTATACGGAGCCGAAGTCGATTTATGTCAAGTGAGTGTTGGCTCTGGATTGATTGCATTGGATGATTGCTAACAGATGGTAAAGCCTGAACAGTTAGGTTGATACTACGTTGATGGGTGAGTGGTAGGAGGTGAGTAACTGGATAAGTGTACAATTCTTTTAGTATATGCGTTGTTTCCAGTGTTTTATAATTGCGACTATCATGACGATTATTAGGCAGACTGACAGAAGATGGACATACCGCGCTTAGCACAATGGAATTTTCTCATTGAACTTATCATTCCTCCATTTGGTCAATTTATACTAAAATACTCCAAGAAAATAAAGCACATTTCCCAGATAAGATAAACACTCTATCCGCAATCAAGCCCCAATTTCATCCCCCACCCTCAACTTCTTCTTCTTCTTTCGAAGTAATGTAGTTTGGTTTTATATGTGACTAGAGGCATATTTAGCATTCGGATCGTATACTACGATCCAAGCTGGCCACGAAAGAGTCCACCAACCAATCATTTGGTGAAAGAAGTAGAGAAGACATGAACACGATGCAATCAAGTTCATCATTGATGAATTGCTCGGAATGGAGCCACGCACGCATATTTCTTCTGTTACAGACTAATTAAAAGCGGGCTGGGTTAGGTCGTGCAAAAGAACAAAAAGAAAAAGAAACGTCAGCGACAGGACTCGAACCTGTGCGGGCGAACCCAATAGATGAGATAGATGAGATCCATTCTAGTCTATCGCCTTAACCACTCGGCCACACTGACTCTTAGTTCTTATTTAGAGAAAGGTAGTGTTACATGAATCTTTGAGAAAGAAACCTTCAATGGCAGATAACAGCCGGAATGGTCTCTACCTTCTCTGTACAGTTGCCCTCAAGACATCTCAGCGATGAGGAAGCCTTACTGAAAAGAGCCTGGAGGGCTACATTTAACAAATCGGGCTTATTACTAACAGGTATAATTGATATTATTACAACTCAGATCAGCATCATGCCAGTTTTTGAACGTGGGAAAACAAGGTGGGATTTGAAGTGCACCAATCCAGAACTGCCTCATGGTCTACGGCATTGCCTCCGATCTCGATGCAAGCAAACACTTGACATTGGTCGCTTTTTATTTCTATTTGCCACCATTAAAATCTAGCATCTTTCACCTGGAATTGTAATTGTGCCAAGAATTGACCACTTATTTTTGAACAGAGGCAGCCTTGACATAGGGGATGTGACTGAGAGCATTACTGAATGGATGTTTACCCTGATGTTCATATTCCAAGGCACACAGGCCGCAACACATTCTTTGGTCTATCATGTCAAAGATTGAACGCTTCAAAAGTAATAAGTCAGTGTGGCCGAGTGGTTAAGGCGATAGACTAGAACGGATCTCATCTATCTCATCTATTGGGTTCGCCCGCACAGGTTCGAGTCCTGTCGCTGACGATTTCTTTTTCTTTTCCTTTTTTTTTTGAACAGTGTTTTTTCATCGTGCCCTCAAAGAGGGAGGGAGAGCTTTCTTCTTTATGCCCCAAATTAAGAGTGCCTAATATTTTATATGCTGTGCAAACTGATCATGACAGTAGGAGTCTTTGAACTGTATGTAATCCACAGGATGAACCATATTAGAGCTTATGGCGCGCAATCAAAATGAAAATGAATCAAGTGATTGTAATATGTATTTATGTTGCTACTTATACTATCATTACTGGACATTGTATTTGCATGACTCCGACAGGATGTACACTACGATCGCATAGCCCTGTTCTTGCTAATCAAAGCTGGTAGATCGTCGATCTTCGCACTGCCCTTAAGGATACCTAGATAAAATATTAGAAAATATAGATGCCAAAAAGAGGGACGATGGGGTATATTCACCATGAACAGACACGAACAGCGGAAATTCCCCCAACTGGTCATTCTTAGCAAGGAAGTCCCTAACCGCATAGGCAGTCAAGGTCCCCTGCAACATCTGGCCGTTCAATTCCGTCTTCTCGATCTCATCGACACTCACCCTCCTCTCCGCTGCATGGCACGCAGACCGGAAGTTTCTGCCCGCGTTACAAGATGCCACCAGATCGGCGATGCCGGCGCTCTCTTCTGTAAACATCTTCTCTTCAACAGATTTGGGGAACCAGTATCGCCCAAACCGGACCATCTCCAGAACTCCAAGGCGAATGATGGCGGCCTTTCCGTTCTCGCCCCATCCTTTTCCCACGACAACCCTGCGGCCAGGGCGATGATATTCTTCAGTGCGCCGCCTAGGGCCCCGGCCGCCACATCGCGCACGCAGTGAACGTGGAAGTACGGCCGTTCAAACAAGTCCTCGAACAAGTTTGCGTCCACGTGCGGGTATTCTTGCGGCATCGGCTCGAGGTGGATGCGCGTGGGTTTACTCTTCTTTTGCCGTTGCACGTCAATTTTTACCAGGTTATCTCCAGGGGCCTTATGGGGTTTGTTCAGATCCATAGGAGGAGGATCGTAGCCGATGGTTGTTTCGCAGAATCTCTCGGCCGCTACCTCAGTGGCGATGTTGGCCCCAGACAGCGCACCGCAGTAGAGCCGAGTTTCTCCATGATCAGCTCGGAATACAACGTCACTGACCCATCTGAGACATCGACTCCCTTAATACAGGAGATTCCCCGGGCATATGGTAAGTGGTGGCCCTTGATTTGGTCTAGTGTTTGGGAGATGAATTGGTGCGGGAGGTTGAAGACCAGCAGAGTGGCATCCTTGACTGTCGCTGGGAGGTCAGGGTTCGCGACCACGTTGTCGGGGAGTGTGATGTCAGGCAGGTATTTTACGTTCTCGTGTACTTTGTTAATGGCTTGGAGTGAGCTTGTATGTCTGATCGCCTAGCTGCTTGCGGTGTTTTGAGGACTCGGGGATCTGAATGTCTTCTTCGAACACCCACATGCGCACTCCCTCTTCGAAGATGTCGGGATGCGCTTTGGTGTTCTCGGCGACAATTTTCGCAATCGTCGAGCCCCTGGATATACATGAATCAGGATATTTGGGCGACCGTGGGAGAAGGAGGAATTGAATTTGCGCCGTACTAGTTCCCTGAGCCAACAACGGCTACTCTATGTCGTCATAGCTATGAGTTCATCACCTCCGTTGAATGCCGCTGGGCACAAGTCCCCAACATCAGGTTTCCAGGTGTCCAGGCTTCCCGAATTATAGAGGGGACTTGAAAAACTCGGTTTGGTAAAGAGGGAAAAACGAGTTCGTCATTGTGGAATAGCAACACCGCCTTGCCTGTCTGCCTGCCTCGTCTTATGTCTCGCTTCATTAGATGTAGTAAGCAAGAGAGGTAGGTACTTTAGAAATTTGGTATCCTACAAGTTGCTACACCCAGGCTTCACTATTAAGTGATTCCTACAATTTGTATTACCTAAATGAAGTTGTAGTGGTTTCCAAGGTAGTTTGCGAGGGTCAGTTGGAAATGCTGCTTAGGAGGATATGGCGAAGACCGCGATACTATGATTCACCAACCGATATAATAAGATAAAACTAGCATTCCATGCCAAGAGATAAATCTACAGATGCAATACTCTTACCTTAATTCACTAGCGACATTCAGCCTTAAGAGATGTTATCATGCCAATCATGTTAATCACCGCCAAAGGGCAAAGCGGTTAATCTCCGTCGGAACCGGTCCGAAATGATCGCCGTTTCGGACTGCTCCGAAGATTGACTCGCGTTGCTCCGGCATCTTCTTTCGCCCTCTTTGTATTAATCTCAACTCTCTCTCTCCGCACCAGTTGGTTGTATCTACTCTGCTGCCTGACTTATCCCACTCTCCTCAGGGATTTATATATCATCGCTAAATCCAAGCCGTGCGTGCTTTCTCCAACTGAATACGCGTTCACTATCATCGGCATTATGCCGAACCCCGTCTTCGGCGCCGCCTTACGCTCATCACCCCGTTGCTGGAAATTAGCTATCGCGGGCAAAACATGGATTAGATACTCCTCCAGTCGTAACCCGCCTACCGTGGCTTTGCTTTATCAGGCCATTGACTCCCCTGTCATCAATGGTGCTCGTAAACCCCGGAAACCAGGAGGTAAGAATTCCGGGCCATTCCCGACAATCATCAAGGGTTCCTCTGTTAGTGGTTTTGAACAAGCCAATATGAGGGATTAAAGTGCATTTTAGAATTGCAAAATACTGACTTACGCCAGGCTACCAAGACTCCGGAGCTGACATCGCCTACACTCTCCGAACAAAAGGCATCAATGTGATCACTCCGAGCAGCTCCCCGCAGGAATCATCGCATGAAGGGTGGTGCTTCCCCGACACAGAAGAGGGCATCTACTCTGCCGTGCAGCAAGGCGTCAATCATCTCTGGGCGAACACAATCCTATTTTCTTCGCATCCCCTCCAAACTTCAAAGAAACTTGACACCCATGCCCCAGACCTCTACATCGTGGGCCAGCCACCTAGCCTAGTAGAGAAATTCGACGACAAGGCGTACCTGAACGGCAAGCTCCGAGAGCTGGGCGGTCTCACTCTTCCTCGCTCCTGGATGGTCAGCGATTCAGATGACCTGGACCGGCTGGTCGCTTCTATCGATCGGTACCCCGTGGTGGGTAAACCGGTTCGTGGTCGAGGCAGCCACGGCGTCAAGGTCTGTCGCAATCCCGCTGAGCTGAAGGCCCATGTGCAGACCCTGCTCGGGGAATCTCCTCTCGTCATGCTGGAGGAGTTCCTGGCGGGTGAGGAGGCGACGATTACCGTGATGCCTCCGTCCCCGGGTCGGCCTCGGCACTGGAGTACCTTGCCCGTTGTGAGGTTCAACCATGCGGATGGCATCGCGCCGTACAATGGTGTCGTCGCGGTGACTGCCAACTCTCAGGTGATTCCAGAGGAGGAGATGAAGGATCCCGCGTTTGGGGATATCATGGATCAATGTGCGAAAGTTGCCGAACTGATTGGGGCAACGGCTCCGATTCGGGTGGACATACGACGGTTCAGCAAGGACTCTCCTTTTGCGCTCTTTGACATCAACATGAAGCCGGTAAGTCTATATGATGTTCTAATTCCTGGGAGGAGCTTGATTGCTTACGTGATGTGGTTGATAGAACATGACTGGACCTGGTCGTCCGGGACGCGAAGATCAAGCAAGCTTGACTGCTCTGTCGGCGGCAGCTCTCGGCTGGGACTATGGGACTTTGCTGAAAAATATTCTGCAGACAGCTCAGCCGTTGGACGTGTTTCGCAAGTATCGCAGTCCGTTTTAGACTGTGGTAACAAGGTCCTTTCTACGGACTTGTGTATATAAGTAGGTCTGAAACTGAATATTGTGTGCGCCAGATAAATACATCCATCAAATCCAGTCAATCCATTTGATTAGGAGGTCCTATTTGTTTATATAGATAATCACATATTATCATCACTATGACCACTAAGCACTTACTAGTGGTAACCTGAACTGTAGGTCTGTTTTAAATAATCAGGAGTGGGCATCTCTTTTGCAAAGGGCTACTCCGCTCTCACAAAAGCTTCTCCAGTCCTAGACCTCGGATATCCTTAGGCTTGAGCTTATTCTTGCAAGAACTGTTTCATGATGCATAGATGAAATTATATCCGTGCAGAAACTGTCTGAATGTGGTGGTTTGGAGGTGGCTTGGAAACTGACTGTTCTCAATCGGCGAAAATTAAAGGTCTATACATCTCATATCTATGTTCTTTTCAATCTTTCAAATCACTAACAAATGCGGGTCAAAATCAATCAATCAAGCCAAAATACGCAGCATGATTCAATGAATTGGAATGTGTACAAATCAATGATCGTAAGCAAGGGATAAGGGAATGACCTGGATGACCGCCATTGTCCCAAACAAACTGCATGATATATCATGAAATGTGGCTGTTTTAGTCAAAGAATGTGAATTATGGGCCATACAGGATGTATCCAATGAACCCAAACAAGAAAAAACCCCTTTCGGCGGATTAACTTACTCCGTACAGTGTAGGCTATGCTGACCTTAAAGACAGTCGGTGAGCGATCTGGGTCCCACTTTGCTTTTGATGCATTGTTTAGGATGCGATGCATGGAAAGTTGGGGCTAAGATCCTTACCTGAGTTCTTGAAATACTTAAAGGGAACATCACAAAACAACCCCTCGCGGCTTTCTCTTATCACCCTCAACGGCCACATTCACTCAAAACTTTCTGCGAAGGTAGTACTCCGGACCAGGTCTCGGTATAACATAAGTTAGATCTTAAAGACCCAAATTTACAGTCCAGAGGGAAAAACCACGACGAATAAATAAGTATACGATACAAGCCGAGCAATTCTCAGAATGGGCCGGGCTGCAGAATCCAACCCCCATTCTATGATTTCAGATTGGCCGTTCAAGGACCGAAGCACATGGAATGGACCCCAGCGCTTCGTCGATTTTATGAACCTCTACCCTGTCTTTCCGCGCCAGCCACTGCCTAGTCATTCAAAGACCGATAAAATTCCCTATATGTCCCAATGGTCGCTGCATCGCTTTATCATCGTCTTTGCTGCCATACCCATGTTGTTCCATCAAACTTGGATCATCTTGACGGGGTGCTGTCTTGGAAAATGTGCCGCATTTTTCCTCTACAGCAGCGCATATGCGCTCCACATTGTCCACCACGTTCGTCTGCTGCGCCGTGGAATGTACCAGTACGGCTGTTTTGACGGAGACATAGCTGATCGCGATGGCGTTCCGAACTCTGCCGTCGGTAAGATACTGGGTTCTCTATGCAAGGTAGCAGGTTTCCGCGTTGCCCTAGCCGTGCTTATCACGTATAACCCTGACGTCTCGCCTCTCACGGCCATCAGCGACTTCACATCATGGGCGCCATTCCTGGCTAAATTATCTCTTTATGGCCTTGTTCTCGACTTTTGGTTTTACATTTACCACCGTGCCTGCCATGAGGTGCCTTTTCTTTGGAAATATCACCGTACACATCACTTGACTAAACACCCTACCGCGGCTTTTTCGGCGTTCGCGGATGACGAGCAAGAGCTTTTCGAGACCGTCATTGTACCACTTCTAGCTCTTGGTACTATGGGGCTTGTCGGTCTTCCTCTTGGTTTCTATGAGTGGTGGTTTTGCCTTGAGTATGTCATTATTGCTGAAATTGCTGGCCATAGTGGTATTCGGCTACATTCTCTTACTCCTTCACCGGTTTTATGGCTGCTACGGCTTTATGATGTTGAGTTGGCAATTGAGGACCATGATTTGCATCATCGGAAGGGATATCGGAAGAGTTTTAATTATGGTAAGCAGACAAGGGTTTGGGATCGGTTGTTTGGTACTTGTGGGGAGAGGGTAGAAGCAAGGCAAACGAATATTGACTATGAGAGGGTGGTGTGGATGGATCTCTTCTAATGAGTATCGGTTTAATCCATTTTTTTTTTCCTGTTGAGTCTTTCTTGGATGATTAAAAGGCGTTCTATAGCATCGAGAAAGTTCTAAGACTTAGTATCACCGGTGATTTTCTTAATGGCCCTAGATCAATACCTCGTCAAACAGACAATCATCAGGTCCTCTATATATGAATCGTCCCCAGTTTCTCCAGCACTGCCTTTTGTATGTCCAACCCATCTTCATCGAACGCCTGGTCTTCAAAGCAAAGGGCGATAGCATCGCAGAATGTGCTACCAGCATGGTGCATGACAAGCAGCTGCAACGATAAGCATGTCTGAAATGACAGCAGCGACGGCACTGGAGATACGCTTGTGGGATTCCCATCGGAGTGGACTTTATCTTCACCGGTGACAAGATAAGCCTCAGCAAGAATTCGATCCAATGGTTTCCAGAGCGCGAGTTCAAGAAGAACACACCCTAATCCATAGAGATCAAACGACTTGCGGTATGATTTCCGACGAGTTCCCCGCGCCTTCGGATGTCGGTATAGATCTGAGCCAGCGGGAGGTTGCGTTATGGCTAAACCGTCTTGAGAGTCGGGCCTGGCGTATTCGAACCCAACGAGGTGAGCTTTCTCTGGAAGAACATCTTCGTCCTGAGTGAAGAATGCGATGATATTTTCGGATCGAATTCCCTTGTGTAGCCAGCCAGCCGTGTGAAGCTGGAGCACCGTCTCCGCCATATCCATTGCGATCCTCACGCGGCGGTTTAACGGGGCAATCGAGGGATATTGGATCACCTTATGTAGAGACTCGTACCGAAAAGAGCCCTTGAATTCCTCAGTTTGAACCGGATATCTGTACACAAAGCCAAATAGCGATCTTTCACGCCACGGTAATAGACCTTGCCACGGCAGAGTATGGAACGATGGATCATCCATTTTACTCAATAGCAGCCCTAGCCGGCGGACATATCTAGCAAGTTGGTCCCAGCCTGGATCTCCCGCGAATTTCCACTCTACAATAACTTTCTGTCCGTTGTAAAGCGCGGGCTCGATCCCCGCGTATTTTAAGGAGTGCGCCGAATCCTCAGGAGTCAGGCGTCGCGGCCGAAGTTCGAGGAGTTGAAGAGGAACACCTCGCGGCTCGGATTTATGTTCCGAACCCTTGGATGGCGCTAGCAGCAGACGAATCTGTCGCAAAGATGCAGCCGCAGCGAGAGCCTGGCTCGAATCCGAGGTTGATGGATTCAAGAGAGCACTAATGGTGCTCAACTCGCTAGGATTGCTACAGTGTGTGATTAGGTCTCTAAGCAATGAGTCTGACGCAGCATGGAGTCTTTCGCGGTCAGCCGAGTCTAACAGGTAGTCCAGACGGTCGTTCAACTCTGCGATGTCGCTAACCACACGGTCTGTCTTTTCTTTCCCTGTACTAGCCCAGCGAAGACGCCGAATGGGGCTATTTTGACTTTGGATGGCCCTTGCTCGAGGGCTACCTGACTCTGTAGTCGTCAAATGGCGAAGAAATCTGGTCAAGCTAGAGGATGCCTCGACAGGCTTCTCTTCTAGCTTCGTCGTAGTTAAACTCTCATCGTCAATGTCGAGATTATATTTGGATTTGAGCTTCTCGGCCGAGGTTAACAACTCTCGTTGCTCTTCTAGCAAACTCCTAGCGACCTCCCAGTTCAGCCGGTTTGACGGGGTGTTGGACTCGATTCCCGATTTTTCCCCCCATTGTATTAGCCGATAATATTGCCATTGCAGTCGCGACACGATCTGATCGCCATCCTTGCCCACGTTGTTTGCAAGACAGATAAGTTTATAGGTACTGACGCATGTCTCGAAAACCTGCACGGCGTTGACAATCGTTCCCAGAACCTCCATGCTCACGTCACAGAAAAGGTACCGGTTATGAGCAGGCCGGGAAGCGGGGAGTGAAGGAAGATCGAGCGATCGAGCGATCGAGCGCTAAGCGCCACGTCATGTCGAGAAGGATTCATCGCGAGGCTGACGCCCCTCACACCCCGCTTCTTAGTACAGTGCATGGCCTCGTCAGTTCAGCTTCGTTATCCTGTCCTTGCTCGGCACCCACGAACCATGTCGTTATGCCAACCCTTCTATGCCTCCCGATAACTGGGTCTGTTGGTTGAGAGTTTCGGTCTACCATGTCCCAGCCCTTTTCCATCAGACCGATGGGACTCTTCCAAGGAGTATTTGGGAGAAGAGCACCATCATCCAATCCGCCACCTGGCGTTCGAAAAGATGAGGCTGATATCGAGGATTTGCTGGATCGCTTGTGTCGGCCAGTATCTGCGACCAGCCCTAGCGCATCTAGCAGCGTGGGCATCAACCGATGCAATGAGATAAGTGATATTCTCTTGAACAAAGGCAAAGTCACCGGCGATGAGCGACTGCTTGCCTGGAGTGAGCGACCGCGCATATACATTGTTTTGCGCAACATCCAGCGGTTAGATCTGTTGGACTCTTTTGTGAAGGCCGAGTTGACCGACTTCCATATTCCCTTTAACGAGGACACACTTCCAGCCTTCTTGTACGAGAACGAAATTCGAGAGTCATTCTTGCACTTTCAGAGCTATGTGCTTTCTTCCGGGGCAAAGGGCCTAGATGATCACGGTGGACCGCATCTGAGTCTTGCGGGGAATGCACAGAGATATTTCTACTATAAGGGCACGCTGGGGCAGGGTGGATATGGGTAAGTTCCCCGAAGTTTCGTTTTCATGACCTTTAGATCGGCTTGCGAGAGAGACTAACCGATTTTCTTTGTTGCTTTTTTCAACCAGAGTAGTCGACGCCGTGACCAGCCGATTAAGCCTCGAATCTTATGCACGAAAACGCGTCTTGCGCGGAAGAGATACCACAACCAACAGGCTAGGGCAAATGTCTCTGATCCGGGAGTTGTCATATCTGAAAACTCTTTCTCATAATCATCTGGTTCGATATGTCGCTTCCTACACCGATGAGAAGTATATTGCATTCCTTATGCAACCCGTGGCAGACTATGACCTGGAAAAACTGTTGCGAAATCTAGGCCGCGCAGGGACCGGGGCTGAGTGCCTGCGACCATTCTTCGGGTGCCTGGCGGGCGCAATCCAGTATCTGCACGAGAACAAGATTCGTCATCGGGATCTCAAGTCGCGGAACATTCTCATCAAGGACGGCCGGGTCTTCGTGGCTGATTTCGGAACGGCGTACAGCTGGAAGGGCTCGAAACACAGTATCACCAACCATCGCAATGTCCCATATACAGCTGAATACATTGCTCCAGAGGTCGCGCTACATCAGAGCCGCAGTACTGCGAGTGATATGTGGTCACTAGGCGTGGTCTTCATGGAAATGTCCACCGTTCTGATGGGCAGCACTATTCGCGAGTTGAAAGCCCGGCTGCATGCGTTTTCGCATCCTCACGGAACAGAGCCTTACCTATGGGCAAACCTTCCTGTGATAGATACGTGGATCGGGGCACTCACCAGTTATGCCGAAGCGCGGGATGAAAGCACCGAGCCATTATCCTGGGTGCGAGATCTGCTGCAGGAGAAACCAAATAAGCGCCTAAAGGCTGGAGGTCTTATGAAACATGTCCTAGAGTCGCCCTCTTTCCACGCTTTCTGCTGCGTTGACTGCTGGCCGGTTTACGAACAGCGTTCCTTTCTTTATACCCAGCAAACCCTAGACAGCCAAGCTCCTGCCCCGGGTAACTCGGCAGACGTGCGTGCCCAGCTCACTGCACTTTTGGAGCCCCCAGTCGACAAGGCCCGAGAGTCGGAGAGAAACCAGACCATTGAGAACTGGCTGGACGATGTCGGGGATGACGATATGTCGTTGACTTCAGTGAGTATTAGTGGCACAGCTGTGTCTTCGGATATAGAGGTCCCTATCCGGATCGTGGAGGACAGCTCGACAGCTTACTCTGCCGAGAGCTCTGATGAGGATAGAATGGTGCATCTGGATGAAATATCTATCACTGGCAGTTATCTGTCGTTGCACGAGGATATGGACTCGCACAGCGACCCGGCTGATGGCAAATCAGAGAGAACGACCCGGCCGTTTCAAGTCCCGACTGAATCTGTTCAGGATATCACCGTCCAAGGCGAGTCACACAATGATGGCGCGGGGGGTGGGGCGACATATGACGGTGGTGGTCAACTAGGGAATATATGGTCTCTCGCGGAAGCTGAATTGAATGTTTGGGCAGATGATACCCGGGCCGAGACAACCGACAGAGGACCAGAATTCCTAGCGAATATGCTACCGTCCTCCAGTGGTACAGTTTGGAAATATGACGACTCGCTAGATCTACCTCCTCTACCTCCGGTAGTAGAGACCTCAACAAGCGATCCCTCTTCCTCAGAATGCAAGGAGCCAATGGTATCCAGGGAAGGGCAAGACTCTGGGGTTCTATCATGGTCAGAAACAGCAATATCACAAGTTCCAAGCGAGAAGAGAACTCTGAGAGTACAATCTACAGATCTGTTCAAGAGCCCGCGTTTGCCTTGCGCTGATACACCGGACAAGTCAGCAGTTGATTGGACAATTGTCTCTCGTGAAGGGGACCCGACGGCTTCATCACCAAGTCATGACTCAGAAACAAAGGCATCTGAGCATGGAATATCTTTTAAAGCCATCGACCAATCTTCAAGTGACCTGATACCACAGGCTGTTGGAAATGGTTCTTCTTTGAGCCGAGAAAGCGATATGGGCGTCGAAACGCCACAGGAGAATGCATCACAGGCCGCACCAGAAGTCAAGACAAAGCCGTGCGAAAAGAAGAAACAAATCAAAGAGCGCGTCGGTCCAGCGGTATGGATTAGCGAGAGACCGCTACAAGAGAGGCCAGAAGCTGGAGAGGAACCACACATATCATCCTGTTCGGTGAAGAAGAACAAGTCCAAAGAGCAAGATGACCAAAGCGCGTCGATAAAGAAACTGCGAAACGAAACATCGCCACCCGTATCGGAACGGAAGACAGAGGCCAAGAAGGTGAAGCAGATCCCGCCTGCCAGTGAATCACAAAGGGATGGATCCCAAGATAAACCAAAAGCCATGGCAGCACCACAAGGGACATCTACCCCAGAGGGGAAGAGGTTACGGTTTACAGAGACGGAGCAAGCACGACCTATGAAGGAGTCGAGTGATCACCTCACACAGCCCGAAGCGAATACCAAACCGGAGTCACGTAATAAACCCAGCCCAGAAAAGAAGACACGGTCCGAAAAAGCGGAAGGTCACACATCACCAGCCAAGGGAGAAAAAAAGGCAACCAGTTCCAAGAAAGGGTCCATGTCTCTCCACAAACAGGCACTCTTATCAAGCGCAAAACAGGCTACACCAAAAAAACAAAGCCCGGGATCAGTTTTCAGTCCTCAGGTGTATATGGACACGGCCTGGGAAGCCGCCTCAACGCAAGACACCCGAATAATTCCAATCAATCGCCGCAGGCTGAGTATGTGGAAATGGTTAGATCGGGACCAACGCATTCTGGAGAGTTTTTGTACTGAAGGGGCCGTGCAAGCAGTGAGGATTCTACTAAGAGACGGGTGCAATCCGGGAACTGAATTCAAGCCCCGACCAGCACCTCTTATTCGAGCAATCAAGGGAGGCACATATCAGCACTATAAATGCGTCCAGGAGCTAATGAACCACGACGTCAATTTGAACGTCAGAGAGAGAAGGACCGGACGCACGGCCTTGCAGATCGCAATCGAGCAGTCGTTTTTCGCCGGCCATACGAGTCTTGTCCGAGACCTGATCAACGGCGGTGCTGACACAAACAAGCCCGATCATACCGGTAAACGACCTATTCTGAGCGTCTTCGACGTCCAAAAGACCGACGTTCTTGAAAAACACCAACTCGATGCACTGGCGTGTCTTCTCGTCGCAGGTGGGGGGAAGGAGACAGATGTCAATGTCTACACCCCTCATACGCGTGACAGCCCTTTGCATCTTGCCATCAGACGACGGAGTCCGATGGCCGTGGGATTGTTGCTTTTCCGTGGTGCATCTGTCAATGCCAAGAATCAAACTGGTGCCACACCCCTGCTCCTGGCTGCAGCTCAATGGGCTGGACCCTTAGTCGCAGATCAAGAAACCATTTTGGACCTTCTTCTCCAGAGTCAAGGTATCAAGCTTAATGAGAATGCCGGCGTGCAGCGTCGAACCGCGCTCCATCAAGCAGTCTTTCGTGCCACTCCGCTGGCCGTGGGAAAGCTTCTGGAAGGGGGGGCTGCTATCTCTACAAAGGATTCTGAAGGTAAAACGGCGCGACAGTTAGCATCAGAGCTAGACAAGACGAAGTGGCAAGATGAGAGGGCCGAGATCATCCGGCTTTTGGATGAAAAGAACGAGAAGTCAAGGGTCAAACCACAATAGTCTTCACCGGAGTTCATCCGCGAGCTTTCTCAAAAGGATAACCGAAAATTTGGTATGTGTTCTCAGATCTCGCACGCTGGTCGTCAGTATGAAAATGCGAAAGATTGGAAAGGGCAAAGAAGCTTTCAGGAAGAGGGGTCACTGGACCGGCGGAGCCCAAACAGGAATGGCGGCGATCATCATAATTAGCAGATCTCTCGACCCTGGGATTTAATAATATAGTAATAGTTGATTTGTCGATAATGAAAGCCGGCTTATACTTGAGTCATTAATCCATAACACCAAGTCACCAATAATATTAGTATACAGAGTTGGAGGGCCACTTTTTTAACACAATATATTATATATTATATTAAGTAATAGGTTGATATGGTCTTTGCTCTGTATTTTATTCTTTGTCTTATATACTGTGGTGAATCTTGATCCCCTTTACAGTATAGAATTACCGATTTCCCATCTAGAAATTGCAAGTTTTTGAAAAGTGACCTACTAAGTAAGAAATCGCGACGGGTTTAGGTACCCTTTGGCGAGGAAAAGGAGTGGAGAACGCGTCTCTTGTGACGGTCTACAAAGGAGCTTAGTAAAAGACAAGTTTGTTTATGACTCGTAGTCAAAGAATTTTCCCATAGGGAGGAAAAGGCTATCTAGGAGAGAGAATCCAGGGACTCTATATACTGCCTGGAGCTTGCCTCAGGCAGGAATGCCTGCAGGATCCCTAGGAATGTTCCTGGATGCCTGCCGCAGAGGATCCCTTGATCCTCCGGAACGTTCTCCCGTACAGGAAAGCCCCCTGGCTTCAGGAGGTAACATCTCTATATATAATTGGTTAAATGATTACACTAACTTAGAGAGACTTAGCGTATAACGTAGTATCGCGAAACGGAGTAAATCCGGGGCGGAGTGGGTATTAACGGTCTACTCTCTACTCCGTAGGACGCTGCTAGCCACTCTCAAGGACTCCTGAACATGCCTTACCAAGGACATTCGCTGCCTTCTGACCTGCTTTGGTTGGCGAGGGATAGATTATTATAATGTGATCATGAAGTGACACGAGATCTTCTGCCCCCAGTACGATCGATGTACTATGGTTTCATTATCAGCATTAGGTCTAAAGAAATGCAACGAGGACCTGGGATCTAGACTCTAGTCCTTGAAAACTCCGATCTTGTCGTAACAGGAGTGGTTGTTATTGAGCATGGCTTGGACGATCTGGACCTATGATGCCGCATTGCGGAGTAAATTATAGCTTGAACATGATCTCGATTGCGATTACAGTTGGCCGGGCAGATGTTGTTGCTTGCTTGCTGGCCTTGCATACGCATACTGACTTCTCAGAGATACTTGGATGAATAAGTACATTGTATAGCATTGAATAAGGTAGGCCAGTCGATTAATTTAGATTGCCCACAGACGAGAAAAAGAAAGACAACCACGCGCAAAACAAAACCAGAAGATGAAGCGAGAAAAAAAAAAAAAAAAAGATACAAACATGATACAACATGATACAACATGATACAACACCAAACAACCCATAATCAGAGGACCGAGAAAGAACAGCAAAAAAAGCAAACATCCTACCCCTCAGAACGGCCACGCATACCACGAAGCCCCCAATACGAACACCGCCACCTCGGGCAAAAAGACCTTCCACGATCGTGGCCTCCACCCCTCGTCATACGGCAGCCTCTCCTCCCCAAATACCGCTTCGATATACCTCCTCGGCACCTTTCGTCGGAGCCCTTGGCCAAATACCGTGCTGATAGCTGCCACCTCTGCGCACGCGATGAAATGTTTCTTCGTGTCAAAATCCAGGTTCTCGTTGGCTCGCTTTTGCTGATCGTACCGAGTTTTTCGGAATCGACCTAAATCTGACAGTCGGAAAATCGACGGATCTCGCGGGGAGGAGAGCAGATCCTCGTAGAGGTCAGGGTTTAGATTCATGTAGTTGCCTACAAGCCGGTCTTGGCGGGTGAGTGAGACGTCGTGTTCGGTGGCGTGGGGACGGCCGACTTGGTCGAGGTTGAGCACGGGGACGCCATCTCCATTGACTTGCTCGGGATCTCGCAGACCGGACCATCTGGTGCCTGGTGGAGGGTTTCGTTGGTCGTCCGAGTGGACCTTGAAGGCGCTGCCGACGAGGAGGTAGGCGACGTCTGGACCGAGACCGAGGTAGCGGACGGCGGAGGTGAGCTCGGCAGCGGTAATGTTGCGGCCGGAGCGCGCGATGAGACCGTGGTTGGCGAGGCTGTTGAGGGCGGGACAGGGAGCGCGAAGGTCGGTTGGGCCTGCGGGTTGAAAATCGCCTCGAGGGGGATCGGGTTCTGTGATGCTGGTCGAGGAGGACATTGTGGGGATCAGATTGGATGGGGTTGAAAGTATTGGGAAGATGCACGGGTAGGAGTGGGATGTGAATTAATAGCGTCCGGGGAAGAAGAAGCTTATCCTTGACCTTCTTGTAGGCAGGGTTCCCGGTAGATCGGAGGTCATGGGTGAGCACAGATGACCGCGCAGGCTGATGGCTTATGCTGCCTGACTGAAGGTACAACGCTTATCTGGTAAGTACACGGATCCCGAACTGGCTAATCGACGGCCAGTATTTACTCAGCCAGGCTTATATTTATAGATGCTTTAGCTCCACTGCTGGAAAAACTTCTCCAGCAGCTGATTTATCTCCTGCTCTCGCTCCCATCCCAACATATGACCTGTCCCCTCGTAGACCTTCCACAAGATCCCCTTGCCCAGTTCCTCTTTCAGAATCTCTCCGTGCTTGAACGTAAGCATCCGATCCTCCGTCCCGTGCTGCAGCGAAATCCGCTCCCTCCCCACACGATCGCCCAGCTCCTTCAACTGCTCCGCCGTCTTGTGGTGGAAATAGCACGCCACAACCTGCATCATGAACCCCTTCTTCGTGAACCCCTCCGTATCCTCTCTCTTCTTCAATGCCGACGCCGCGAACCGATCGCGATTCGTCGGAAAATTCAGTTTCGCACCCTCATGCTCCGTATCGGGCCGAGTCAGAAACTCATCCGCGAACATGGAATGCGCCAACTGATCCAGCTCGACGTCGATATGCCGCGGAATGAACATGGTGGCGCGCTGCCGTAGGTTTTCCAGGAACGGCGTCGTGCGGACCAACCGCGGGGCCGTACAGCATAGCGACAGACTCGCCAGCCGGTCGGGAATCAGCATGCCGACCTCCTGGGCGATCATGCCGCCCATGCTGGCGCCAATGACATGGATGGAACGCGTGGGTTCCGCGGCCAGATCGATCCAGCCGAGCGAGGCCACCAGATCCACGGCATCGCGGGCCATCTCCGAGGTGGAGTAGAACGCGACGTTCTTGTCGGACTGGCCGACGCCGCGGTTGTCGAAGACTAGACAGGTGTACTTGGAGGCGAGTTCATGGCCAAAGTACCGGGTCTGCCGGCGCCAGTCTTGGTGAGAGGCGTTGAGCCCCATGATCCACTAGATAATGTCCGTCAGACTTGCTGGCCACAAGTACCGTTTGCGGTATGTGAGAAGGGCTCGAGCCTCGAGCACATACTACTAGCTTGATTGGTCCCGTGCCATGGATCTCATAATACAGGTTGAAGGGACCGCCACGACGGTTCTGGGCCACTGTGCGGGTGCCGGACGAGGTGGGAGTCAGGTTATAGCCCACAGCTTTGTAGGCAGGATGATTGACGATCTCTGCAGCGGTTAATGAAGCCATGATGGATGGGAATGAGAGAGTTTTGGAGGGAGTATGGAAGAGGAACAGGATCATTTGACGGGTGGAGCGATAGTTGGGGGCCCTGCAGGCAACCAAGGCAAAGGCCGAGATCTCACATGGGCCCCATTCTTGGCAGCTGATCCCGAGGCCCGCCTGACGGGCGTCATGACGACACAATTCCCTCGGTGACTAATTGAACATACCCGATTGGAGTGATGTGGGTGGGAAATGATCATTCTATCTATTCGAATGATAGAAAAGATCATGGTTGCAGGTTAGTGCGCAGATCTCAGAGAAAAGGTTGTACATTGGCTCCTCCTTTATGATGTCACAACCCCCTACGGCAGACAACAACCGCCACCCACGCCATCCCGGCAGGATCACATGACTGGAACTCTTAAAAACTGAAGTGGTTAAGCTCGGACGAATAGTGGAGTTCGATCGGTCCGAGCTGTACGAGGCCTAAGCCATAAGGAAAATGCAAATGAATGAAGTAACTATCTAGAACGTAGCCTAGAGTACAGAGATACATGAGTGCTTGAATATTTGTAAAGGATTGTGGCCTCTGCAAAATATGAGCCTCGGACGGACTAATGCTGTTCCCGGCTTCCGAGCTAATTACATCTCATCAAAAACCACAGATCCAAAACGACCATCTGGGTCTGGTCGGGTGGTTTGGGCCATGGAGACTTTGCAGCCTACCACGAATGGTTTAACCATGAAGATGCCCACCTTCTCTGCCGCTGTGGTGCAAGAAAAACTACAGTTCACTTCCTCTTCTGCTGCATTGCAAAGAGGCGCCTGCCCCGGCCTCCAGGGTCCCCTTCTGACATAATCCCCTACCTGCTAGGCACCCCAAAAGGTGCAACCGAGCTGGCTGTGTGGCTATCGGAAACTCGTTTCTTTGAGGATATATGCATACGGCATCCACTACCTCAGCTAGACTGAGATCCCGCCCCCCTGTGACAACCTCAGGAATGAAGAACTGGCTCTTATTGCAGGTTATTTACGAGAACACTAGGTTGAAGAAGGAACAAGAAGAAGACAACGATTTACTGCATGAAGCAGTAAACAAACCCACTGCGTAGGACAAACAGTGCAAACAATACAAACACTGTAAACACCTTGGCGCAGGCAACGCTGCATGCTCAGCTCCATAACTAACTAATACTCACTAGTTAACTAACTAACCGGCCCCTGTAATTTTTTTTCAAAAAATACGGACCCTCGCTTGCGAGGGTCCGCCACCCATATGCAATGGATATATCACCCATATGCAACTTTTTTTTTAAATTTACTATTTTTTACATTGATCTTCTACCACCCTATCAACCATGCCTAAAAATAATATCTCTTGTTTATTATAAAGGGAGTATGTAACTTTCAGACAATCATAAAAGCAAGTTATAGCAAGCCTATGCAGCAGCAACTGGAGCTTCTGCTGCCAATACTTTCTTAGAGTACTGGAAGCCTGACTACAGGGAACGTTAGTGAATAAACCAACGGCACAATTTTTACCTATGCTGAATGTTCTGCCTTCCATATATTTAACCAAAAGACGTCATGTAATGATCCCGTTCTGGAGAAATTACCGCTTCGTAGGCCGGCAACAGGAACTGGACAAATAAGAGGAACTAATTTCCATGCCAAATGGGCCGAGAAAACTTGCCATTTTCGTCCTGGGTGGCATAGGGAAGACCCAAATCGTTCTCAAGCTAGCTTATCGCATGCAAGCTAGAGATTCTAAATGCTCAATTTTTTTGGATCCCTTGTACCAGCCATGAGGCTGTTAATGAACTAGCCGCGAGACTTACGTAGAACACATTCATAATAAATTACATGGCAGAAAAATATACTTTGCTATTCAAATGATAGTATATGAAAGCCCACATTCAAATCAATTGATGCGAAACAGCGGCTTTTCGTTCCGCTTCGCTCGCCACCGATTTGTCGAAAGGGCCAGATCATAACAATTGCTGATAACCCAGCCCCAAGAGCGAACAAAAGATTCAGTCACCTCCCACCCCGCCGGGTCCCAAGGGTCGCTCCAAACAATAACGCCGCTTCTTCCTGAGGGCGCGCTTCCATTACCCTTCATATCTAAACAAAGCTGGGCTTCCTCCTCGAAATCTCCAGCAAGGATTAAATTATCCCTCATTTGGGGGACAGGAAGAAGGTCTAGCCATGGGTGATGTGGGATAGAGCGCTGGATCGCAGTGGGTTGGAGATTTACTGGAAGGGTATAGAGAGTAGCGTCTACCCATGGGCCGGCAATGTTGAATGGCGAAATTGCATCATCGTGGAGCTGGTCGGATGTGAGGCCGAGTATTCTCGTGTTTTCCATCAGGGCCCTGGTGAAATTTAGTGAGATTAGGTTGAGTAGCAGATCCGTTCGCGGGGAGCCCAAGGCGTAGTACTGAAGAGCTATTCGTTCTAATCGGGCCATTCTTGTTTTCGTCACCGGGCAACTAGATTCCAGTATATGCACGATCTCGATTTCTGCTAGAGAGGGATCGATCTGAGACAGAAGAGCCAGTTTCATTGATTCATGCTGCTCACTTATAGGAAAACCATTGTAATCCTCTGTCTTTCTGTTTTCTAAACGGTCGAGTGGTTTCTTATTATGTAGTCCTATTGTTTTTTGCAGACAGTCAAAAGGGTACTCGCCAAAAAGCAGAACGACAGATGACAGACTTACGTCGAGCCCTTTGGTTCAGGCGGTTTTGAAGCCTCCGGCGTGTTTTCGGGTCGGTGATGCCCGACCAATCCTCGTCTGGCCAGGCGCTACGACGCTGCGAGAGCGAACTCAAAGCAATCAGCTTCTCGGATGGGTCTCCGGCCGAGAGATCCATGTTTGAGATGGAGTCAGGAAAGACCAAAATTTTGATCTTCTGACCCAGCAATGTATGCAACTTGATGACAGCAAGAACGTGTGGAGGACGAAGAGGAAGGGGAAGTGGAAAAAGTGAACAGAAGGGCAAATCCGCACCGTTTGAAGGACTGATTTCGAGTCTCGCAGGATTGACCCACTCTGTCATCGTCCTGCATGACGCTTATCCCCTTTGAACTGACTACTTGCCCAGTCCTTGGGAGATTGATGATACTTCTTGTCTAATTGGTCGGGTAAGTGGAGTAACAGGCAATCCAAGTTTTATGGAACCAGACATGATCCACACTCTCTGCAAATCAGTATACTCCCAGTCAGCTAATCTCTAGATAGACGCTTTACGATGAATAGCTGGGCTTGCTGTGTCTCTTTAAACAGTCCTGGATGAAACTATGAGAATTGCGTAAATTGCCTTGGCAAATGCGGATCTCATGTCTAGGACTGCAAATCAGATGGCTGTGATTTTTGCATGTCACTGTTGCCAAGGGCTTCTCGGCATGCAGCCTGAGAACTCCCTTTGGAGTTCAGACGGACGTGTGGTCTATAAGAGCGCAAGTCCTTTCTCAGTCGCATCCATAGGACATCAAGAAAATCTTCTAACTTCATATTCCCTCATAAACGGTACTGACACCGCTGTACCATGACCCAGTTGCTTCTACTTCTAGCGTGTCTCATTGCTTTGGGACACGCCACAGCTTCCATCTCTGAAAGCGACAGCAACTTGTCTGATCCGACTGTCCCTACGGCGTGTCAACAAGCAGTATATGTCCTCCACCGCCATTGTCATCTCCTATATCTGACATACGTCTAGTGCTCGGAGCTTTCCTCAACCTTCGGGCCTGCATTTCACTGGCCGCACAACGATAATTTCACAATCTGGGATGCGAAGCAACAAGAAGCTCATCCGGCTTGTCGAGTTGAGCCTTCGTCGGCCCAAGATGTTGCCAGCATCCTCGACATTCTCGTGGGCCACTGGTGCTACTTTTCCGTGAAGGGTGGGGGACACTCTAGGAACCCCGAGGATTCTAACTCGGTTGGTGGAGTGACAGTCGATCTCAACCGTCTGAGTAGTGTCGAGGTTCTTCTAGGTGGTACCAAGGCGCGTATTGGCGGCGGCGCGACGACCCTTCAGGTGTACAGAGCTTTAGAGGCGCACAACTTGTCGTTTGTGGGCGGGCGAGTTGGTAGTGTCGGTATGGGTGGTTTCACCCTGGGTGGAGGAACGTCGCCATTCTCGAACAAATACGGATGGTCATTAGACAATGTTTACGAGTATGAGGTTAGTACCTACCTTCAGCTATCTCACTAAGTCTGTACATACACAATAACCGCTGGCATTTCGGTTCAGGCTGTTCTCGCCAACGGAACCATCACCAATGCTTCCGAGTCGCACAATTCGGACCTCTACTTTGCCCTCCGCGGTGGTGGAAACAACTTCGCCATTATTACAGCCTTCACCGTTCGCACCTTTTCCCAGAGCCCTGTCTTTACCAGCACGACAACCTACGCAGCGAACCAGTCAGAGCAAGTTCTCGACAGGGTCTACGACTTGTACACAGACAAAATTCTTACCAGTGATAAGGAAATGGGATATGATCTGTACTATACGTATAGCTCGGAAAGCGATAGGTTCATTCTGAGTGGCACACAGCGATACGGGAAACCAATTCAAAACCCATCGGTTTTCCAGGCTATCGATCGCATCCCCACGCTGAGCAGAAGCACAAACATAGGGCCCATGAGCCAGGTGGTGGATGGGAACGAGGAAATGGGCACCACACGGTACGATACTGCCCGAGAAACTTCAACCTATGCAAAAATACAGACTCATGACTATGCCATAGGCATCTTTTTGCTACGCTCACCGTAGCCCCATCGCGCTCCTTCTTATCGCAAGGCTTGAGAGTTTTCGAACAGGAGGTGGAAGCCATCAAGACGGTCGCTGGGTTAATTCCCAACTTCATTTGCTATCCGCTACAGAGAAACGCCCTTGCGGCCATGAAGCAGCGAGGCGGGAACGCTCTGGGGATTGACCAAGATGAGCCTCTCTTCTGTGTGTGCTTGAACGCCCTGCTGGAGTCCTACCTACACGTGTGCTGACGTACTTATTACCAAGTGGTCCTGATCTCTACAGCATGGTCGAACAGCACTGATGATGCTGCTGTTAACCGCATGACGGCAAACATTATTCAAAGACTAAGCGTCGCAGCCAACGACTTGGGCGTTGCAAGTCAGTATAAGTATATTAACTACGCATCGGCGGCACAGGCCAGCACGGTTTTTGACGGTTATGGCGACGAAAATGTGCATAGGCTGAAGATTATTCAAAAGGCTGTAGATCCTCATGGGGTATTCACCTCTCAAGGGTTATGGCATGGATTTATGAAGCTGCTATAATTTAAATGCCTATGTATGTTTTGTGAGCGAGTTGGTCGACTCTTGAGTGAGAATGCCGGGAATATTGTCGAACAGAACGGTCTAATTACTTGGCTGTAGCAAGAAATTTAGGTTTTCGCTCTTATCAAAGTATCTTACTTTATCGCATCTACGTACCCTCTACATCACTAGCCTGGATGCGGTTTATGTGCCGTCACACTTATGGCGACGAGGATATGATAAAAGTTTCTGTCGTAACCTTCATCGGATGCTCGAACCAGAAGCGTTTGGCGATGACTGAGGACGTATTACAGAAAGTTCTTCACGCGAACAATCGGTCGTCCCCTTGTGATTATGGTTGAGTCTTCGGATTTTCATCACAGAGACGAGATATTTCTATCTTATCTTTGCTGAGCAGGGCGTGAGTATCTGTTAACACCCCTCCAGTACCTTAAACATCATATCTGATACTAACTATGGACCTCTTCGTGCCACACATTACCTGGAACAGGCCTCAGAATAGGTGGAATACTGATTAAAGTCTATCCTTTTCTATATGGTAAGGTTAATTCAAAAAGACAACCATACTTTCTCGAAGTTATTTAGTTGTTCCTTCGAAAGTGAGCTACTATGGAACTATTGATGAGGAACTGTTCACTTCTTGCCATTTATAAAAAGGGAGATAAATCCTGGTATCCAATTATCAGGAAGATTGAGCAAGTTGCTCAGCATTTAGGCCTTCAGCTTGTTAGGAGAGATGGATATGATATTGATACTTCGAGTTATTGTACCTAGCCACCCAAGAACCTGGGTTATCAAGAGAGTGTTGCTGCTGCAGTAAGTTAATAGCTATATGCCCCTTCCCACCTAGAATGTTATAATAATTTGAAACTTTCATCAGGACACTATGAGATAGAGCACAAGTGGAAACAGAGCGCCTACTCCCTGGGAAACTGATAAGAGTAGCGAGAATCATGAAGTCTATTCTCGTCACGGCCGGTGAAAATATGTCTCTTCTGCGCTCGGGAGTTGAGCATACATTGCTTCTCGTCTGAGCTGGACCTCGGGCAGGCTTAGACATTTTGAAGCATAAAAGGCAAGGGTTATCCGAACAGGGCGCCCGAAGATGCTCGGAGTCCAATAAACATTTTTAGTCTTAAAGAGTTGGCGCGATTGCAATTCGAACCATCCTTTTCCAAGTTGAGCAAAAGCCTATTACTGTCGTGGCTATCAATATTAAAACAGAAATATTAAACCTCCGAATTGGAAAAGCCCGCGTGCGATAACTTGGGAAAAATATATCGAGATAATAGGTTCTATATGTCTTGCGGCTCAGGTTCAATTATACTAAATCTACTCCTCCAAGCCGTATATCCAGTTTACAGAAGCCTACAAAGATACCTACACCACGCTATATTCTATGAAGATGACGAAAGACGATTACTTTTCAATATTATTTAAAGGATTTTTTTTTCTCCTTTTCAGCTTAATTTTATAAAGCTAAGGGTTTATGTACAATATGGACTTTACAAGCTTCGGGTTGCCTAGAAATATATCTAATACTAACTATAGGGGTTAAAATCCGCATTTCAAACCCTATGGTTTACCTGCTCGAGGATCAATCCACAACAGTATATCTGCAAGTCTGTAAAATGCTCGCTATGAATATAGAGATTAGAGCTGCAAGGTGATATGCATATGAATGGTTATTCCGAGCTGTCACAGGTTCTATCACGTACCACGAATGGTTTAACCATGAAGATGCCCACCTTCTCTGCCGTTGTGGTGCAAGAAAGACTACAGTTCACTTCCTCTTCTGCTGCATTGCAAAGAGGCGCCTGCCCCGGCCTCCAGGGTCCCCTTCTGATATAATCCCCTACCTGCTAGGCACCCCAAAAGGTGCAACCGAGCTGGCTGCGTGGCTATCAGAAACTCGTTTCCTTGAGGATATATGCATTCGGCATCCACTACCTTAGCTCGACTGGGGGGGGGGGGGGGGGGGGGGGGGGGGGGGGGGGGGGGGGGGGGGGGGGGGGGGGGGGGGGGGGGGGGGGGGGG